CAAAGGCAACACTGCCCTCCCCCCGGAATAAAAAAAGGAAAAGGTGTAACTAGAAGCGCTATAACTTATATCTTTTGCAATTTTCTATATCAATATATCTGTCGCATCCAAGACAAACAATCAAAATATTTATAATGTCTATAGTTTGGAAAGGGGATCAGGTGTGCCTAATGAACTATAGTGACAGCTGTGGATTGTCTCGGGTGTCAACAGCTTACATAAATGACAAGAGATATCGAGATATAATCAATGTGATAACAGTCTCAAAATGGAAGTCTATTACAACAACCATGTATTTTTGAAAAATTCTGACTGGCTTCCGGAAGCTGGGCCATGTTGGTGTGGATTCCCACCTGCTGTTTATAGCTTACAGTCTCAGTGTCCAACCCCGACCAACAACTGGTCCAATATGTCTGACCAGGCAGATTTTGACCTTGACCTTGAGTTTGCTCATCTGCAACTTGCTGTGACATAAGTACTCAAGAAGTGTCTACAACTTATTGGAATACTGGCTCACCTAATTAGTCTGGCAATCTTTTGACCTTTTCACATTGTGTGGTATCATTTTGTTTTGACTGGCCCTAGTATGTAATCATGCCATGGAGATGTTTTACTTTCTTTTGACAATTTGGACCATATCAAAATGATTCTGGTTTACTGGTCCTGGCAAATCTTGATGGCTCCCAGTGTTGTATAATTGTGCAAAACTGAAAAGTACAAGATGATGACACTGAAAAATGCCGTGTGTGTGTGTGTGTGTGTGTGTGTGTGTGTGTGTGTGTGCTAGAGCAACAGAAGATAAGTACATGTAGAATGTTTATTCCTGAACATTTCTTTTATGATAAACTTTCCATTTCCTCAATGAAACATCTAGTGATATGGTAGCTAGACTGGATAGATTTTTCCTAAAATAATTTTCATATTTTGTCCTACAGACATTTTTACTTACCTTCATATTTCGAGTTCTCACAGTGCTCACGAGTTCTCACAGATTCAATTAATTCCCTAATTGTCTTTGAAAACAAACCCAGTGTCTTAATTACTGTTTCGATTTATAGTAATATGCACTACTTCATTGAAACATGTAGCTAACACACATGAAATTTTATCTTTCATAGTTTATTTTGTTATTAAACAACCTGCAATACAAGATAACATTATTGTGCATCGCAGAGTAATACTTCGCTTCATCAAGGAATTAAAACCCACGTTGTAAACAAAACAGTAAAGGATGCCACTTTGTTACATGTTATCACAGTTGAACATGTTGTTGAGTAATCTATGAAGCTCCTTTTAATTAATTACCCATTAAAAGTACTTCTGTGCATTTTTAAAAGCTATAATGGTGATTATGAGTCAGAATGAATTCTTTTTTCAAGCTCCTCATTATGCAACCTTTACATGGAAAATTGCTATCATCATTTCTGCAGGCGAGTTCCTCTGAAATGCAAATTGATACTTGCTTGAAAGATAATTTACAGTGCAAATACAAAGTTAATGTGTGGAAATATATTTACCTGTTAACAAGTGCTATGTTTCCCTGCTGTAGTGTTTGCAATAGTTTTTTTTTTTTTTTAATCTTCAATACTGGTGCAATTTCATTGTGGCTTTATTGCACTGAGACCCTGTTCCCATACCTAGATCGATCTAGCAGGATTGATCCATCTCCGAGGAGATTTAGGCTAAATTAAATTCCGCTTAAGTGGCCTAATTAGACGTCTGGCACATCAGCTGAAGCTGCTAAAAGATAGTTAATTACTCTCTAACAACTTCAGTAGGCATGCTATACATCAGAGCCGCTTTAGCTGAATGCAATTTACAAAGAAACCCCTCGGAGATGAACCAATCCTGTTAGACCGATCCAGGTGTGGAAATGGGGGCTAGGGGAACAAAATACAGGGTTTCATGAACTTAATCGTAGATGACTTAAAACAGTGACTCAGAGACTGAATTGGTTATGAAAAAACACATATCAAAATCACACAAACTTTTTATGGCAAAAGATGATACGCATTTTGTTTATTGCCCACTTGGTCCTTGTTTTCATGATAGGTCAGTTCTGACCATACAGGATTGTCAAACAGGTCAGGAAAACCATATGCCATCTGTCTCATTGTAAATGACTTACTTAATGCAAATATAACTTTGCTATATGCTTGGCTATAGGTTAGGAAAGTTGAATCTAAAACATCTAGAATTTGGCAGTCCTGTTGCAGTTTACTGTAAATTGCAGTCAGGACCAGATATTTACTTTTGGAATCCCTGTGCATAAGTGGGCAAGTTATATATATTTCGCTGGTTATTCACAGTACTGTCACGCATCATGTTTTTTTATTGAAGTATTAGTTTTTTATGAGTAAATTAAATATTTGACACAACATAACAATCTTCACTACTTGTACTCCTGCCATATTGTTCAAATCTTCAGTTTTTACTAAGAACAATAGTGGGCATGCTTAACAGAAAGCATGACTGATGATGGCCGGGGCAATTGTTGCCCAGAGAAGTATGAAAGCAGGCAAAGTAGGTTTATTCTACTGCGGTTCAATTGGGGTTTATTCGACCGCTGTTTACTTGCTAGTGTGAATGGCCCTAACGATTGCCACTGCCTTGCTTTGTAATTTTATCTTTTGAAATCCCCGAGTGAATATATATCAGCACTGTGACACATTGAAACTGTACCAGTACATTTTGTCAGAAAGATAAAGGGCAATCGGATCTAGTTCAGATAAAACTTCAAGTTTTTTTAGAAATCATAATTGTGGGTCATTTCTCACAACTTTACCAGATGAAAACTTAAGTGATTTACGGTTATGAAATTGAACGGCTTGATGGAGTTAATGCATTAGGTATTGAACAGTGATACATTTAGATCCTGGGTTTCATGCCTGGGAGTATGCTTGTGTATACTGAAAAGGCACAGTGAACCAAATCAGGGAATTAACATCGATTATGTCAAAAACTATCGATGTGCCAGATGAGAGAACTCATTCCCTGTCAAGATTGTTCAACTGAAGTTTCAATATGTTGTCAGAATACTCAAAAATATCTATCCATTGCTATAAATAAAATTTGTTGGAGAAAGGAAATTTGAGGGATGAGAAAAGGATGGATGAGGTTTCAGAAATAGATTTAAAGGTGTCTGTTTGTCATGAGAAGGCAGCAACAAGTAGCCGGTAAATACGATTTAGTGCTCAGATGTTGAAGTGTATGTGGTCAGTATTTTTGACCAGGTCAACCCAGCTCCTTGTAAAGTCGCTCTTTTAAGACTTGTTTCCAGCCAATTTGGGCTGATCTAACTCATCACAATTACTATCAATCTGCCAGTTACAGTTTAGCTTAACATACTGGTAGGAAGCCAGAAGGATGTTGCCTGACTTATTTCAATGGGAATCAACTGAAATGAGGCCTTATGGCACTGGCACTGCGTGATGTTATTTTAGACTATAAAAAACATGGGATATTCCCCGTGGGAAATACTTTCAGATACTTAAGGTGAACTCTATGGGCTAGGAATGTGGTGTTAGAAAACAATACGAAAGTGACACAAAAATGGTGAATTAACGTTTGTAATTTGTGCAGTAGACATTCAGTTAGGCAGAACATGAGGGAAAACAACCAGAATAAAAAGCGTGGCTGAATTCTGTCGGCTTTAATTGGTTGCAGGACTGCATGCATTTGCCATTATTTCTGTCCCCACTCACCTCCATATCTCCAGAAAAGTCTTGCTTGATTTAATACTGATTTTTGAGACAATTAGCAATCTGTGATGATGCCCATTAGCTCAACATAGGAATTATAGGAATTGCCAGGGGCAAGGTATTGTAAATGGTTTTCTCATCCAAAGTAGTGAGGGATGGGACAACAGAGAGATGAGATTTGCCCCCAACTGTGAGCTAAACATAATTAGAAGTCCGGGCCTGGTAGTCATTTAAAACAGACTGAAAGTTTTCCACTTTGAAAAATATTATTTATTTATTTATTTATTTATTTATTTATTTATTTATTTATTTATTTATTTGGGGGGGGGGTAAAAATTTATATATTCATGAGAGGGTAAGAGTTTCTTATTTGTTAACATCAGTTTCTTATTTTATCTATATTCTCTCTTTATTACCACTCTTTTTTCACCACCATTAAGGTTTTTTTCTTGCTTCAGAAACTGCCCAATTTTGGTCTTAGATAGCTTGTGTTACATTAAATGAAGAAAGCGCTTTGAAAAAATAATAGAGCCAAAACAAACAAACAAAAAAAAGCATTGCTTCAGTAAACAGCTAGGATATCATATCATTCCTGGGTGAAACACTAAATGTCATCAAATCAACCAGATGATGATGACTATTTAGGAGTAAACAGCCAGATGATGAGGAATTATGTAGGAGTAAACACATTTATTTTCTTTTTAGATAACTCAATTTTCATCTCTGTTTACATGAAGGGAGTTTTAGAACGGTTCTGGGTTTTATTGAAGCCGGTAATGCTTTTTTTACTATTCCAGGCTTACAGTTCTTATAAATACTTTTTCTTGATATATATTTTAGTGCTTTATTCCATGGTAAATAAAGTATTATTTACATTTTTATGTAGGACGGGGGAGAGGAGGATTGAATAGGTCCTCAATAATTCCTTTGATTTTCTGTGATCTCACTTTGGTGAGATGCATTGCCTTTTTTGTGCCCTGAACACAAATGTTTCAACACTGTAGTAGCCACTTCATGCAAAACAATTATTGAATACCATGCACCCACCCTGAAATTGTTCATGGTGACAAAAAAGAATTTAGGGACAAAAATATATCCAAATCTTATTTGTCTGTCATCAAAAAAATTGTCTTTCACTTCAGAGAAAAGATCATAGATAGATGGCTAGATAGATAGATAGATATAGATATGTATAGATGTATATAAAAAAATTATGTGTCTGTCACTCCAGAGAAAAGATGGATAGATAGATATAGATATGTATAGATATATATAAAAAAATAATGTCTGTCATTCCAGAGACCCTTTCTGAGGCCGTGAAGATGCTGAAGGGAGAGTATCTTATTCGTGCCATCCAGGAACACAAGATGGACCGCGGCCTCATCTTCTGCAGAACTAAGTTGGATTGTGACAATATGGAGCGCTATTTCATCACATATGGAGGCGGTAGGGTTAAAAGTTTGACACTGTGAGATATGTATGCCTGAGCGTGCACGAATTTGCATGAGTGCATGTTAGTGTGTGTTCACTTGGGCTTGTTATGTGTGATGTGTTCGTTCCACGAGGGCTTGCATTGTGGACATCTCTTTTTTCACATTAGTGCGCATGAATGCATATTTTATATGGGCATGTGTACATGTATTTTTTTTGTGTATTTGGTCATGTGTTTATGTGTTTGTATATGTTTTCTTTTCTCTGTGTATGCATGTGTTTCTTTTGTCTCTTGCAAAAAATAAGCTAAAATATGATAAAGCAATTTTTTTGTCATCAGTAAGATTGTTCTTGGTTCCTAGGAATTATATTTACTGATGTTTTTAGTTATAGTAATCACGTACTTCGGAACAAAAATAGTAGTGAAACAGCTACTAGTATGTTTCACTCTAGTCACAAGAGTATCATCAGGCTGAATGCCCACAGGTAATTGAGTGTTGTTAAACCTGTGAATGATTCTCACTCAGTGTATTTTTTTGTGTGTGTGTCTTAATGTCATTGTATGTGCCCTCTATGAGGGACTTGTTTATGTACTCTTTGTGTGAAGGAGACCTCTGAGTTGTTTTTCATGGTGTAAATGAACTGAAATTTCCTGCTATCAACAGATATTTCATTGACATTTTCACTGTTTGAAATGGTACATGTTGAGCATTGGAAGTATTTGCCTTCTGTATGTAATAATCATTTTTCATGTTAGTGTAAGGTATGGGAATTATATTAGATTCTAAATTATTACAATCTGCACTCTAAGCCTTTAATACCAAATATTCTTAAAATTGATGGTAATTAGTACCACCAGCGTGTACGCTGGCGGTACTCATGGTTTTAGTCCCGACCCGTATCGTACGGCTCCGCCGGCTCCGCAGGGTGGCGTGGGATACAAGTCACCGTTACTGCTTCTCCTCCTAGACCGCATGGACCTGTGTCCCCATCTCTTGGATTTAGGTCACATATAATCTCAACTTGAACCCCCTGGTTTTTTTGTCTCAGTCGGTGCATTCGCTTGGACGTGACACTCGATGAAATGCACCCTTGTCAAATTTTTTGAAACTTCAATGCTATATATCTCCTAAACGGAAGAAATTATGGGAAAAATTAGTATAGAAGTCTGACCGAAAGTCATATATCAGGATTTCAAATATGCCTTTGGATTTGACCTTTGACTTTTTTTTCAAGTTCAAATAGGCCAAAATTTTCTTAAAATGGGAATTTTTTGCAAAAAAAATTTTTATTTGTGCCGAATTTCAGAAACTACACAGAGTTTAGCACTCATATTATAGTGAGGGGATGCAATTAGGGACTCCTTTTATCTTTGGGAGTTTGAGGTCAATCGGTGCATTTTCATGGGAGAAAAGGCCATAAGATGCCAAAACTGAAAACTCTCCCTAATTCTGGAACTGTAAATGCTAGAGACCTCTTGTTTTTTGCATTATGTAGAGCTTGTCAAGCGCAATACTGAAGGTGGTGTCCATTTTTTTGTTTGCGATACGGTCAAGGAGTTGTGCTCTATCAAAAAGCACAACTGAACAATATTCAGTGGTAAAAATAAAATGTGAAATACTCCAAAAGTAGTTGAGATACACCCATAGTTACTATTGAACTTGAATAGGAAGTCATATACTGTCAATCTCACTGTGACCTTGAAATTGACCTTTGACCCACTTTTCACCATGAACTGAACTTTGCAATTTTTCCATCCCTTATATCACCAAAACTAGCAGAGATACACCCATAGTTACTATTGAACTTGAATAGGGAGTCACATACTGACAATCTAACTGTGACCTTGAAATTGACCTTCGACCTACTTTTCACCATGCACTGAACTTTGCAATTTTTCCGTCCCTTTTATCTCCAATACTGGCAGAGATACACGCATGGTTACTTTTGAACTTGAATAGGAAGTCATATGCTGGACATCTAACTGTCACATTTAAATTGACCTTTGACCTTCTTTTCACCATGAGCTGAACTTTGCAAATTTTCTATCCCTTATATTTCCAAAACTGGCAGAGATAGGCCTATTTCTTTCTTTCAATATATATGCAACACTGATAATGCATTTTAAAGAAAACTGACAAGCCTATTGTCTTGAAAATCGGCTTGATCAGACGGTTTTTACAAAAGTTGTGCGTTTTTTTTTTTTTATTTAGGGGGAGGGGGCATATTTCTTGTCTTGTTTATTGCATTTTGAAGAGCTTGTCAAACATCTCACTAGTAGTTGCTCCTGTTTGTTTTTGGTTTTCCATATGAATGCGCTTACTCCAGCTGGTGGTACAATATCCGGAGGTGGTATCGCCTCTCTGATCCTCTAGTTTTTATCCAGTAACATGAAAACTTACATTTTATTTATTTATTTATTTTTTTTATTTATTTTTTTGTTTATTATTATTTATTTATTTATTTATTTATTTATTTATTTTATTTATTTATTTTTTTTTTTGGTTGGATTACGGATATTTTGATGTGAATTAACATTTTTTAAACATGATTATATATTGTCAAGTTTTTCTGTTGAACCTCATTTATCATTACTGACATTTTGTTCAATAATGTCATTCAATACTTTCTTGAAGAGTACCTGCTTCCGTTGTCATTTGCGTGACATAGTACCCATATCTTAATCCTTAATGACATTTTGAAGACTGCTATTATAGGAAACTTCATTGATCTTTGGTGGAATATTGTCTTCCTGATAGTAATTATTAAATAGGATCTGGTGCTTTAAGCACAGGAGTATGGCCTCTTCTTTCAAATGTGAAAGGTGCTTATGTCTTATCTGGGACTTCAATGAATATTTAATAAGCAACCCTGCAAGATTGTCTGTTTCTGAAATTGGCATCTGGTTGCATGCACGGTACAAGGTGAATGTGCTCAAGTGTCTGATAAGCAGGTTATTATTATTATTATTTTTTTTTTTTTTTGGGGGGGGGGGTAGGTTTTCAATTAAAACATTTTGATTGTGCTCTAGTTGCTTTTCCTTTTCCCCCCTTTTTTCCCTTGCATTAATAATTTCCTGTTTGAAAAGTTTCTATGGTTTTTATTTGTTGATTAACTTCATAATTATTGGAAAACCTTTTCCTTCTCTCATTATTAAAAGTTAAGCAGAGAGAAAAAATTCATTTTGAACCATTTTTCAACACTTGGAATGGTTTGTATTTATTAAATCTTTATTTTGACATATTGGCCTCCTTACATAGAGATATTATGGTGTATCATAACGTTGAACTTAACATTTATTTCTTTAATGGTAAAAAATGGTAAAAAACTTTTTTTTTCACCAAAAGTCCCATTATGCTACATAATTATATCAGTCCTCTAAATGTGCTTGATTACAGATTGATTTTTAGTTGCACTTCACAACTTGAATTTCAAAATGACCAGTCCAAAAGAAAAAAGTCAGAAGTTATGAGGTGAATGTATCACCACATTATGTGATGTTATAAAAGCAAGGACCTACTTCATAATAAGAATGAAGTAGATTCAACATGCAGTGCCACATACAACAGTCCAGTGAATAAACCAATTAATCATAGGTCGGAAAAATTGTAGATAAATGTTTTTCAACTGAACCTGATCCTTGGGGGACCCAGTAAAGTCAAGCTAATATCCCTAGATAGCCAAGATAGTTGAAAGAATGATCAATTTGGCTTCATGTACTTTTTGAAAGTGGCATGATCACCAGGACAGGGAATCTGTGGTATTACAGCTGGGGACTTTATTCCCTCGGGATTCCAAATCCACTATTTCTCTCAGAAGAAGGTACTTTTAGTATAATGTAGAAGGTACTATTAGTATAATGTACATTGTACGTGACATTTATGACAATAACAAGCATCTTTTATTAGTAAAAGAATATACCTGGAAGCTGGAACACTTTGATGAACTTTATATGATGAAGGAGATACAGAAAAATGTTTCGAATTGCTTACCTGAAGTGCACTTAGGGGGATCAATATGTTATAAAGTCCTAAATTTGGCATAATAGTTTTTTTTCCCCATTTTCTTTTGTGAGAAATACGCATCATAATACAGTTGCAATAAAAATAAACACTTTAAGAGCACAAATTTCGTTTTTGTTTTTTGATTCATCATCCAAATAGCTTCTGTATGTAAAGTGGCCAAGCATTAATTGTCAGTTTAGCTGCTTTATAAATGAAAATTATTAATGAGAGAACAGTTTCATTAGTTCTGTATGTATCAGTTTAAATTATTGTTTTTCTTTTTATCAAGAGCTTATAAAATATGTGGGTATTACTGACAGTCACAGAAATATTGGAGGTAACTAAGATTTTATCATGAAAATTGGCATGCTTCATAACAACTACAATCTGGTGTCAGTGTTTAATTAATTTTTTTAAGAGATACAGGGTATGTTTCAATGATAATGAGGTTCCATTAACCAAAGGCATTATTGTGCCTTTTTATTGATAAAATTTAAAGTAAGCCTTTCAAGAAAATTCCCTGTCACCAGATTATAGTACTTATTGTTGTGATTAAATAGATGTTAAAATGCTCTTGATAGCAGTTCAGGTGAGTGAGATCTGTTTGAAATCTGCATTACAGTTTTCAACCCAAAAAAGCTGCTGTTACATCATCATACAGCTTCATACAGTAAGCAAATTCATCCCTATGTATTTTTGGCATTATCTCATAACATGGTAATGTCTGTTTCAGCATTATGTAAGCAGATAAGGAAATAATCTTAACATACAGATCTCCCCTAAGCCCAGTAGAAACGCTCTCAACATTTCACTGAACATTGTTCTGCATTTGTTGAGGGTAAATGTTGAAAGCATGTTAACACTTTGTTGAGTGATGTTCAGTGATGTGCAGTGAAGTTTGAACCAAGTTTTAAATGTTCAGTGGGTTGACTCAACATTTGTTGTTGTTGAAACATGTTGAGAGATTTTAAACAACCCATCCAACAATGTTCAGTCGGCGCATGCACACTTGATTCCTCTTTCCAAACTCTGCATACTGAAGATTGAGGCTCCATCCCATATTAGTCAAGGTACTGTAGATTTTGTGACACTCATTTGATGGGAATTTTTTCCTTGAGGTAGCCTAAAAGGGCAGTCATTGATCATTTTATTTTCACCCAGTTTATTAATTATTTGGTGATTTTACAACACTGGTTGGCAAAGCAATCAAAGTGACAGACGGCATGTTTCCATCGCCCAACAAATGTTGCATGAAAATTGTTGAGAGCAAAACATCACTGAACATCAATAAACATCGTTCTACAAATGTTGAACGATGTCCAGTGAAATGTTAAGAGCGTTTAAAGTGGGCTTGAAGTTAAAATAATGGAAAGACCTTTCTCTGCTAATTCTATATTTGAGAAGGAGAACTGGTTATAATAACTAATAACCCACTAGTAGGTTTCAAAATGTCTAAGGATGAGGGCTTTACTTTCTGAATCAAGTACTTTTTTTGCCAAACAAAAATAAAAAAAAATTATTTATTCATGCATTTTGTTACAATTGTTTTTTGAAAATAGATACATTTATAAACTACAATGGAAGCAGGTGATATTATTGAATATAGAAAATTGAAATACGATAATGTAGTTCTTTTTCTTCCAGTTGTTTATCATGCTAGGGATGCCATTGATTATCAGTGACAGACAACAGCAAGCTTGGACATTTTAGTTAANTGCAAGGTGAATGTGTTCGAGTGTCTGATAAGCATGCTATTTTTATTTATTTATTTATTATTTTTTTTTTTATTTATTTATTTTTTTTGGGGGGGGGGCTAGGTTTTCAATTATAACATTTTGATTGTGCTCTAGTTGCTTTTCCTCTTTTTTTCCTTTTTCCCTTGAATTAACAACTCCTTGTTTGAAATATTTGTAAGGTTTTTATTTGTTGATTAACTTCATAATTATCGGAAATCTTTTCCATTCTTTCATTATTAAAAATTAAGCAGAGTGACAAAATTCATTTTGAACCATTGTTCAACACTTGGATTGGTTTGTATTTATTAAATCTTTATTTTGACATATTGGCCTCCTTTCATAGAGCTATTATGTTGTATCATAACATTGAACTTAACATTTATTTCTTTAATGGTAAAAAAAATGGTTAAAAAAAAGCATTTCTTTTTTTTCACTAAAAGCCCCATTATGCTACATTATTATAACAGTCCTCTAAATTGGTGTTTATTAATGTGCTTGATTACAGATTGATTTTTAGTTGCACTTCACAACTTGAATTTCAAAATGACCAGTCCAAAGGAAAAAAGTCAGAAGTTATGAGGTGAATGTATCACCACATTATGAAATCACCACGTTATAAAAGCAAGGACCTACTTCATAATAAGAGTGAAGTAAATTAAACATGCAGTGCCACATACAACAGTCCAGTGAATAAACCAATTAATCATAGGTCGGAAAAATTGTAGATAAATGTTTTTCAACTGAACCTGATCCTTGGGGGACCCAGTAAAGTCAAGCTAATATCCCTAGATAGCCAAGATAGTTGAAAGAATGATCAATTTGGCTTCATGTACTTTTTGAAAGTGGCATGATCACCAGGACAGGGAATCTGTGGTATTACAGCTGGGGACTTTATTCCCTCGGGACTCCAAATCCACTATTTCTCTCAGAAGAAGGTACTTTTAGTATAATGTAGAAGGTACTATTAGTATAATGTACATTGTACGTGACATTTATGACAATAACAAGCATCTTTTATTAGTAAAAGAATATACCTAGAAGCTGGAACACTTTGATGAACTTTATATGATGAAGGAGATACAGAAAAATGTTTCGAATTGCTTACCTGAAGTGCACTTAGGGGGATCAATATGTTATAAAGTCCTAAATTTGGCATAATAGTTTTTTTCCCCCATTTTCTTTTGTGAGAAATACGCATCATAATACAGTTGCAATAAAAATAAACACTTTAAGAGCACAAATTTCGTTTTTGTTTTTTGATTCATCATCCAAATAGCTTCTGTGAAGTGTAAAGTGGCCAAGCATTAATTGTCAGTTTAGCTGCTTTATAAATGAAAATTATTAATGAGAGAACAGTTTCACTAGCTCTGTATGTATCAGTTTAAATTATTGTTTTTCTTTTTATCAAGAGCTTATAAAATATGTGGGTATTACTGACAGTCACAGAAATATTGGAGGTAACTAAGATTTTATCATGAAAATTGGCATGCTTCATAACTAGGGAGTCAACTACAATCTGGTGTCAGTGTTTAATTAATTTTTTTTAAGAGATATGTTTCAATGATAATGAGGTTCCATTAACCAAAGGCATTATTGCGCCTTTTTATTAATAAAATTTAAAGTAAGCCTTTCAAGAAAACTCCCTGTCACCAGATTATAGTACTTATTGTTGTGATTAAATAGATGTTAAAATGCTGTTGATAGCAGTTCAGGTGATCTGAACTGAGATCTGTTTGAAATCTGCATTACAGTTTTCAACCCAAAAAAGCTGCTGTTACATCATCATACAGCTTCATACAGTAAGCAAATTCATCCCTATGTATTTTTGGCATTATATCATAACATGGTAATGTCTGTTTCAGCATTATGTAAGCAGATAAGGAAATAATCTTAACATACAGATCTCCCCTAAGTCCAGTAGAAACGCTCTCAACATTTCACTGAACATTGTTCTGCATTTGTTGAGGGTAAATGTTGAAAGCATCTTAACACTTTGTTGAGTGATGTTCATTGAAGTTTGAACCAAGTTTTAAATGTTCAGTGGGTTGACTCAACATTTGTTGTTGTTGAAACATGTTGAGAGATTTTTTACAACCCATCCAACAATGTTCAGTCGGCGCACACACACTTGATTCCTCTTTCCAAACTCTGCATACTGAAGATTGAGGCTCCATCCCATATTAGTCAAGGTACTGTAGATTTTGTGACACTCATTTGATGGGGATTTTTTCCTTGAGGTAGCCTAAAAGGGCAGTCATTGATCATTTTATTTTCACCCAGTTTATTAATTATTTGGTGATTTTACAACACTGGTTGGCAAAGCAATCAAAGTGACAGACATGTTGCTAAAAAATTGTTGAGAGCAAAACATCACTGAACATCAATAAACATCGTTCTTCAAATGTTGAACGATGTCCAGTGAAATGTTAAGAGCGTTTAAAGTGGGCTTGAGGTTAAAATAACTGAAAGACCTTTCTCTGCTAATTCTATATTTGAGAAGGAGAACTGGTTATAATAACTAATAACCCACTAGTAGGTTTCAAAATGTCTAAGGATGAGGGCTTTACTTTCTGAATCAAGTACTTTTTTGCCAAACAAAAATAAAAAAAATTTATTTATTCATGCATTTTGTTACAATTTTTTTTGAAAATAGATATCTTTATAAATTACAATGGAAGCAGGTGATAATATTGAATAGAGAAAATTGAAATACGATAATGTAGTTCTTTTTCTTCCAGTTGTTTATCATGCTAGGGATGCCATTGATTATCAGTGACAGACAACAGCAAGCTTGGACATTTTACTAGGCTCTTTCATTAGGGCAGTCTATTGGCCAGTATTAACTTAGGCTTGATGAAAACAGAAAGATGATTCTGAAGTAGTGACAGGATGGCAATTTACAATGGCTTTATTGTCGAGTATTAAGGAAAAAACACAGGTTTAATGGTATTTACCTTGCATTCTAGGTCCGTAAGCAAGGGTTTTGGAGGATGTGCAAGACACCACCTCCCCCCCCCTTTGGCCAGGAAAGAGTCACTTTTAATCCCAATTTGATTCTATGCCTACACAAAGATTTTGTAGTAAAATGTTCTTTTGTTTTTAGAAAAAGAGCCCCCTTTGAAAATGCCAGCTACAGACCAGATAAATTATACCAAGAAGTAGAGAAATTTAGTGATTTACAAGTATGATGATTTAATTAACATAAACAAGGATGAAGTAAATTGTAGAACATACAAAAGGTCTATATAGGTAAAATATAGGACACACATACAGAATGAAGTTTTGTAAGAAAAATGTAATAGAATAAAAAACAACTAGAAAAAGTAGGAGGCTAGGTAGTATTGAGGGTAAAAAAAAGGTTAGCCATGTAGGGTTCTCTGGGGAAATACATACTTCTCTAAAGACTAAATGATAAAAGCTTTTGCCTTTAATGAAATAAGTACTCACATTTACTTTTGTTTTACGTTTGCTCATTTTAATTCAAAACCTAATGGTATTGATTTACAAAAAAACATGATAATTGTTTATTTCATGATAGCAAGCTAGAGGAAGGGAATGGGAGATTAGAATATCTAACTAGGCAGCCAGATTACACCTATAAAAAGGACTAGAAAATCAAGCTTATTTCTTGGGCCCATTATAACAGGTAATGTATAATGGGGCCAATCTTATTTCAGGTTTAGTAACATGACATGTAAGTGCCTTGTTTTGAAGTGGCTCTAAAATCTTATTCTGTGATGTTTCCTCTGCTTTAGGTCCTCATCAAAGAAACAGCCCATTTTCTTGTGTGTGCCTACATGGTGACCGGAAACCACAAGAGAGAAAGGCCAATTTGGAAAAGTTCAAGGTAGGATCCATTTTATTGCTGATATCACTGTAAAATTGTTTTGCTGCAAAGGTTTAATATGTTCTTAGAAACATAATAAATAATAGTCATTGGAAATGGATGTTATTATATGCTTTACTACTATGCCATGTAGTCATGCAATTGAGTTCTAACTTCAAATTAAAAGCACTAAACCAATTTCAAACCATGGCTGGGTTCACAGAACTTCATTAACTTTAATTTCTTGTTACTGAATATCCATTTGAGTACATAAAGGTTTATTCAGCAAGTGACATGCAAAGCATAAATCACTGATGACTTTTACCCTGTTCACACTACAATCTGAAATATCCTAATTTTTGCAATGCGAATTACGGGTGAAAAATCCGATTCGATTGTCTGGCCACACGTAGCAAAGGGAAACCGCACTAAAAATCCAGGTGGAGGTTCCAGTTTGAAGAATCGTGCATGCGCAGAATCCATGAAAACCTTGGGCTATGTCATTGTAGACATGCTGATTCCTCTTCTTTGTTAGGCTTTTTTGGTGCTTATCCTGCCTCCATATATCAATCAAACAAGAAATTTCTTTGTGGGTCCACTGACCTGGCATGTTGCTTTTCTTTCCCGCGAGATTTGCTGGCGCATGCGCAGTGCGATCTAAACAAGAGGCCCTTCCGGTGAAGTAACCAAATTGCTGGAGAAAATCCAGCTCGCTAGTAGGATTTTCAGAAACTGGTTTACAAAAATCTTCATGTGTTCAAACTAATGCAATAATTCGAATCTCGACCTAATTTGTTATTTAACCGGTTAAATGACTGCAGTGTGAAAGGGGTATTTGTGAACAAGACCAAAACTGCAAAATCTATTGATAATGTTTAATAGATCGAGCCTGCAGGGACATGTCTCCAGTCAAGTTGGAACATCCTAACTCATTATAACCCATCTTTGTATGCTTGCTGATTGCAGATAACTTACCACAAGTCAGTCTAATTACACAGCATGTATGTCAGTGTGAATCATCCAAGAGCCTAAAATTAGGCCATATTCTCAGAGTGACATTATACAAGACTAGAAAACATGCAGTAATCTGTGTCAAGTGTAGTCAAATTTCTAGCAATAAGTGCAAAACTCTGTATGCTGGAAATGTTCATCTATTAAACTGATTGCATTGGGTGAGAGCCCACACAAAGTTGGATCGATCTACATAGACTGATATTTTCAATGGGAATGAGCCCTAAGTGGTAAGACTTGGGGGTTATTTTGGATGATTGCCATAACAGTGGTGGTGGGTGGGACAGTGGGCAGTTTATTTAAAAATCGCTTTCTGTGGTGAGGTGATCATAATCAGACTTCCCTTTGTGATGGGTTGCACAGAGTTAAAAAGGCCAAACCAGGACTGGAAACCTGACTTCACTATCAATATGGATTAGATACTCTCGAAATGTTTAATAAACATTTATTTCTACCCGTTTGGCCTAACAATTTTTTAATCAGGTAGTTGCCTGTACTGCCTGTTTGGTTTATCCCAAAAGATATCAGTTTGGAAAAACACAATTAATCTACACCTGCAAGAATGTGTAGTCATTGTATGGATTTTTCATTTATTTTGTTAATATTTTGTTTTCAAATCTGTCTGGCAGTTAACATCCCATAGCTTAACTTAAAATCTAAAGCTTTGTGGTTGGATAATAAGATTACGATTTGGCGTAGATCCAGGTGAGGTACATGTTAATGCCTCACAAATTACTAGCTAAGAGTACACATGCGCTTGTGACTAGCTTTATCAGTCTGGGTCTTGCCTGGGAATTAATTTTTTAATACATATTTATTAGTTCATGAAAATTATATAATAGTATACATATACATGTAAAGATGGCAAATTGCTTTAAACATTATATGCTCTTTTTAAAGTGACCTAAAAATATAACCAATTAACTAATATATATCTATTGATGATGGAGAAAATAAAAAAATCTTTTATAATGATAAATAAAACAGTAATTTAAGAATTATTACATTATAGGGGAGTTAGGAGGGAATTAATATAGTCTAATAGCCAGTGTGACTAATGACATTTATCCTGAAAATTGGAATTTTTTGGACCAAAATTTTAGTCTGCTTTGACCCAAGATAGATCACTTAAGTCAGGACAGAAATAGTCCAATTTTTTTAGTCTGAAAGGGCACATTTGGATTCACACATCGTACTAGCTGGGTCAGTCCAAATCTGTAGAGGATTCTCGATAAAATGCAGTAAGGGGGATTGGCTTTATCAACACCCAATAGTTTATTACTCCTTAACTGCTCGAGGAAGCTTGTCAGACATCATGTGTTTTTTGGATATAATACAAATTTTTATGAACTGCATAGGGTCTCCTTTACAAAGGCTCCATGACTTCTCTCATCTTTGATTGCAACAGTGCTTGGGAAGAGTTTGTGGTTTTTCCTTCACATTGTGTGATAGTTCAAGTTCTGCTGTATCTTGTGTGTTTAGTCTTGTTGGTTGTATAATTTTTTTATTCATCTTGCCCTTCTCATAAAAATAACAGGCTTTTGATCACTATAAAGTTCAGACACAGATGTCTGGTACCTTTGAAAACAGTTTTTGGTTTCCCCTTCCCATTCTGCAAAAAAACCTTCAGAAATGTTTCCATGCAACTTGTGTTATTATTACATGTATAGCTGTTTATGCTTCTCACTTAGTTTTCCCAACTTCTAATTTTTTTGTTTAATTATTTTTCAGAATAATGAGGTCAGATTCCTCATATGCACAGATGTGGCGGCCAGAGGTATTGACATCCACGGACTTCCATATGGTTAGTTTTAATGTCCATCTGTTGTCCTTCTTATCAACAAGTGTCACAGGGGTGGTATCCAGGGATATTTTCTGACAGTCTTATAGATTATCTTTGTTGATCCATATATCCTTCACTTTTGATTGTCTTCCGAAAAAATTACATGCCCATGAATGTAAACTTGAAAAATTCTGAGCATTTTTGGGTTGAACCAGAAGACAGCCTCCATCCACTCTGTGTCCTGATATCTTATTAACTCTCAAAGCCCGCGATATACAACAAGTTTTAATATTTGTGATTGCTTCTATGTTTTTTTAGTGGGGGGAGGGGCTAATATGCCCTTCAAAGATGTCAAAATTGTGTTAAATGAAGATGTGTTTATTATAATTCTCATTTGACCCAGGCAAGATTGGAATTAGACTTGATTATGAACTGGCCTGCCATGAATTCATTAATTTGCATGAGGCAGTTAAAAATATTTGCAACTGTAATTTTTTAATCATAATATTTGCTTTTTTATAGTGATAAATGTGACACTTCCAGACGAGAAAGAAAATTATGTTCACCGAATTGGCAGGGTTGGTAGAGCTGAAAGGTAGTGTATGATATACTTAGAATTTATTGTTGATATAGGATAAAAAAGAAATTTTTCCCGGTTCCCTTTTGAACACAAGCTGACATTTTTTGTTCTGAGAGAAGCCAATTCTGAAGGGAAAAAACTGTTCGTATGAGATTCATGTTTCACAATAAATACATTGTAAACAAGTCGTGGAAATATAATAAGTTCTGTTTTACCACCAAAACAGCAATTATCACAATTATTCTATAATCTGTGCTTGTCATCAAGAACACATGGACCTTCATAGATGGCTATACCTCTATGATAAAAATCTCTTAGATTCTTACAAAAAACCAAACTTCATTAACCATTGGTAAGTGTGGGGAAATCATCATTTACCTCAGGAAAATCTGTCTTTTGACCAAAAGGAACAGTAACTGTTGTTATCCTTTTAATCCTTTAATAGATTTGATCAATATATATATATATATATATATATATATATATATATATATATATATATATATATATATATATATATATAATATATATATATATAATAAAGTTGGATATTTGTTAACTTGATTAAAGGTTTTTATACACTTTTCAGCTTTTGCAAGGATAAGAACATCTTTTAAATAAATTTTAAATTTTTTGTGTTAGGCCCATCCCTAATAAGTTATTGAAAATATCAGTCCTTTGCAATTTATCACCAGGTGTAATTACAGCAATATTGGAATTGCAAATTTTATTTGCACATTTGCCAAAATGTTGTTTTTTATTTTTGAGACATTGGTGAATGTTCCAATTGTTTTTGACATGTAAAATGATGTTTTGCAGCCTCAGTTATGAAATGAGTGTAATTGAATTCACCTTAAAAGGAGCTTCATTATCATGCCTTAATAAAGAACTCTTTCAAGAGAATGATAGATCACGAACCAATTAGTAACTTGAAACTGAAACGTGAGGAACTGATTAAAGTTTATTTGCAAATGCTGAAATAACAAAAATATGCTTGTTTTTTCATTTACAGTGAGTTTTGTATGTTTGTTTTTATGGGGCTTGGCTTCTTGAAACAGAAAATGTCATCAGAGAAAAAGGAAAGTGAAAAGAAAAAATATCAATGATACTAATATTTTTAATGAAGTTTTTGTGGCTTAGGTTATGAAATGACTGTAATTGAATTCACCTGGGAACTATTTTTATTAGCATTATGTGACAAAGAAGCCTTTGAAGAGGATGTTTCATCACAAACCAATTAGTAACATAAAACTGAAACATTAGGAACTGATTACAGTTTATATGCAAATACTGAAATAACTGAAAATATGTTTGGTTTTTCATTTACAGTGGGTTTCATTTACAACTTGTCTTTTTTAATGGGCTCGGCTTCTGGAAACAGAGAAGAAAGAAAAGAAAAAAATATAAGTGCTACTAATATTTTCCTTTTAAACCATTCAAGTTACTCAAAAAGCCTGTTCTTATCATTTATAATGAGTTTGGTTACTAAATGAACAAAGAAAAAGTTGACCACTATGGTGACTTTCCTCCTAGTTTACATGCTCTGTGTGCCAAGAACAGTACAGGACAGAACATTTATGGTACAGAACAGTGCCATGTGGTACAGGACAGTGCCATGTGGTACAGACCATTATGGTACAGCAATTTATGGCTGGGGTTGTGCTAGCACTCACCAATTTAGCCAAATGGTAAAACTGACTTAAATTGGCTAAACAAAAAGGACTTGATTTGATGAATTTTAGTCAAATTAAAACCATTTTCATAACAAATTGACAAAAAAGTGATGATTTGGCTAAGCGGAAAAAATTGCTAGCGCTATCCCAGTATGGCATGATAGTAGAGTACAATATGCTGTAGTACAATAAAGGTGCAGTTCATCATGGCATGGTATGATATGCTATGTGCAGTTACTACTTTACAATACAATATGGTACATGCAGTAAAGTAGATTATGGTATGGTACAGTACACTGTGGTATAGTAAATTATCATAAGATCACAGTCAGTACTGTGCAATTCAGGAGCACATTGTGCAATAAGTATGGTACAGCATGATGCAATTCAGTATTTTATACAGGCCCGTAGACAGGGGGGTTCAGGGGGTTCGAAGGAACCGCCCCTTTTGTCAGGAAAAGGTCCATTTTGGGTAAAAATTTATCTACATACACAAGTTTCATTGTAAAAGGTCCACTTTTTCAGAAAAAGAACCCCCCTTTTGAATTTGCTGGCTATGGGCCTGTTGTAGTATTGTTTGGTATGGTTCAGTATGGTATAGTTTGGTGCAGTTCAGTATGGTATAGTATGATTTGGTTCAGTATAGTATGGTATGGTATGATGCCTTTCAGTATGAATCAGTATTACTTCTGAATCAGTGATATGAAACTTAGCTAACATATTGGTCTATGTGATTTTTGTTAGATACTCAAGCAGAATGCATTTCTTTAAATTATCAGTTTAGATATTGAAGGTGATTTATTACTAACCGATTTTACATATGAGTGTGTTTAGATGTGAATTTGATTGAAAATGATGGAAAAATGATTTTGAGCTAAAAATAACTCAAATTTGGTTCATACTCTGGAGTAATAGACAGGGAAGACACAAGGTATTAGAAGTGCCACTATCATGGGGGGATCCACACCCTTCTAAAAATACAAAATTGTTTATCTGGCACACTTTCCATCTCTGAAATAAGGGAGATGATGAAAATAAATATTAGAACAATCAGTAGAACCATATTTCATATTTCATTTTCCCAATTTTCATTGGATGGGGGATTGATGAATGAATTAATTTGACACCTCCCCCCCCCCCCCCCCCTTTCTAATATCCTGACTTTACCAGAGTCAAAATGAATGTGACCTAACAAGACACTTCTGGCCCATAGCTGTAAGTACCTTAAGTAGATTTATAACCGTTGGCTTCCGGAGGTGGATATGTCAAGGAATCATGAAATGCTTCACAGGTGTACGACATCCTGAGGAAGACAGCAAAGTTGACTGGGAGGAAACGGAGGTTGGTTTCTTTAAATACGTCATGTTTCCTTTTGGTTGTCAGTATTTTGAATAATACACTTAAAGAAGTACATGTATGTTATGGTTAAATGTGAATGTTAGAAGGCCTGCAGATGATGACTTGTCTGTTCTTAATTTATGTACTTGATTATTACTTGCTTAATTTGTAGCTGCTGCAAATATGTATAGTCATTAGTTTTTTTGTGAGAACTTTTACAAAGAAGATAGAGCAGTTTGAATATGACAAACTGCTCAATCTTCAGGCCTACCCAACTCCCAGACTCGGCACCGAATGATCCTGAATTCACCGGTAGATCAGACCACACTACCCTTTTTCAAGGTGTTCGTCAGTACACATTTCACAGTATCATACTCCTGAACAAATTTTGAGATAAGATGCACTACTTTCCAACTCTGCTAAGAATCATCACTATCACATCGCGTACTAGGCAAGAGTGGTGTCGCGTCTGATACTCTGAAGCGCATACCGATACACACCTTGAAAACGGGTAGTGTTGTCCAATCTACAGGTGAATTCAAGATCATTTGGTGCCGAGTCTGGTAGTTGGGTAGGCCTGTATCTGTATCTACAAGCTGTGAAATGAAACTGAAACCTAAAGACTCCTTGCCAAGAACAGTGCTCAACAAATTGATACACTGCCAATAATTGTTGTTCTTTGGTTCGAACAAACATTTTGCTGACTTTTTTCCAGTGTTTCACATAGAAAATTGCTCCTTGACAAACACAAAAGTTTAAATTATTACAGTTGTGCAACATGCCCCCCCTCCCCCACCAAAAGGAAAAAAAGAAAAACTGGCAAAGAGTTTGATGTTAAGAACTGTTGGTTAGTACTAAAAAATTACTGGTCAGCACTGTGCAGTCAATATAGTGCTCCTGCTAGATGGCAACTATACCCAGGCTTACTGTCCCATTCTCAAATTTTAATTGTCAGTATGACTGTTATTTTGATTTAATACAAGAAATCTTTTTGCTTGTACCTGTACTATTTATAGTTTATGTTGTGATTTATCAATATCTCTTTTAATTTTTATGTACAGACACAGATGTGTCTGTACATATTGCCATCACCTGCGTCTGTCGTCGCCAATGCCGTCGCCGATGCCGATGCCGATGCCGTCGCCGATGCCGTGCACTTTCCTTGTAAACACGATAAGTGGAGGACAGTTTTACTTTTTGGCTTTATATTTACAGAGCTGATGAATATTCATAAAACGCAGGTCAAGTTCGAAAATCAGCATGATCGGGCCATTATTGTAGAACTTATGCTGTTTTTTCACTTTTCAGCATATATGCAACCCTGTAAACACATTTTAAGGAACACCGTTAGGCCTGTTGTCATGAAACTCACAGGAGTAATCAATCTTACTAAAACGCAGGTCAAGTTCGAAAATCGGCATGATCGGGCCATTACTTTAGAAGTTATGCTGTTTTTTCACATTTCCTCAGATTCAATTCTTAGGCATGTTAACAGTCTTATTATTTTACTAATAAGATACATAAAAGTGTTTGTTTGACATTTCCTGAATCTTTACAAAATTGTTAGTTGATTATGTAAAAATGATGGTAAACTTGTTATCGTGTATTGTGTAATAAAGTGTCAAAAATGGAAATAAACTCATATCATTGCAGTTTGTCAGATGCAATCATTCACTATGTTCAGAATCTCAGGATGGAGGAAATTGGACATTTAACACTGTTGTATTGATATTTTTCCCATCTCATCAATTTTCTTAGTTGATCGTATAAAAATGGCAGTAACCTGTTAATTTTGTTTATGTTAAAAAAATTGTTAAAAATGGAAAAAAAACATTTCAGAACAGTGCTGTCTTGTTTACATTTTGGCATTTTCAAGTTGTGACTTTGAAGTTCCATGGGCCTGAAGACCTTTGCTAGTCACATTTTCTGAATATCCATGATACTAATATTTTATTATTAAAAATTGATGGTCATTAAGCTGTTTAACATTATGTAATATTGCATCAAAATTTGAAAAAAACTTATTTTGGGCACTGCTCCCATGATGACCATTTAAGAAAAACCATGTCACTTACTGTTCTCAAACAGTACAGTAAATATGTACAGATGTGTCTGTACATATTGCCATCACCTGCGTCTGTCGTGGCTGGCGTTGCCGTCACTGTCACTGTCACTGTCGCCGTGCACTTTCATTGTAAACGCGATAAGTGGAAGGCAGTTTTACTTTTTGGCTGTATATTTACAGAGCTGATGAATATCCATAAAACGCAGGTCAAGTCCGAAAATCAGCATGATCGGGCCATTATTGTAGAACTTATGCTGTTTTTTCACTTTTCAGCATATATGCAACACTGTAAACACATTTCAAGGAAAACCGTTAGGCCTGTTGTCATGAAACTCATAGGAGTAATCAATCTTACTATAACGCAGGTCAAGTTAGAAAATAGGCATGATCGGGCCACTATTTTAGTTATGCTTTTTTTTTTCACTTTTCAGCATATATGCAACACTGTAAACACAAAATAAGAAAAACAGATAGGCCAATTGTCAGTAAACTCACAGGAGTGGTCATTCCTGCTAAAACGCAGGTTGAGTTTAAAAATCAGCTTAATTGGGCCATTATTTTGAAGAAATGCTGTTTTTTCACATTTCCTCAGATTTAATTCTTAGGCATGTTAACATGCATGTTTCATTATTTAATTAGTAAGATAAGTAAAAGTGTTTGTTTGGCATTTCCTGCATCTTTACAACATATGTAAAAATGATGGTAAACTTGTTATCTTGTTTGCATCTTTATTTTCTGTTTTTTGTCTGTACATTTGACAGCTTTGCTGCCTTGTTTTTATTTAAACCCAATATTCACATGTAACAGGTATGTAGTGATGGTATGTACCCTAGCACACTTTATCTTTACCTTGAAAAAGAAGTTGTTTACGATAAACTCTGTACTATACCATCCTATATATATATATATATATATATATATATATATATATATATATATATATATATATATATATAATATGTTATATAAGAAAATTTAGCAATTTTATATACACTTTGTTTAGTTGGAAAGGATAAGGATTATTTATCAGCATGCATTATGATGCATATCAGTTAAATGAAAAGGAAGCTTAAAGCCTCTTTTCTAAGAATACTGTTCAACAAATAATTGGTGCACTGCCAATTAATGTTGTTCAAATAAACATTTTGCTGACTTTACTCAAGTGTTTCACATAGAAAATTGTCCTTAGACAAACAAATAAAAAAACGGTCTAAATTTTAGTTCTCCAGCTGTTCAACATGCCCCCCCCCCAAAAAAAAAAAAAAAAAAAAAAAAAGAAATGGCAGAGAGTTTGATGTTTAGAACAGTTGCATTAAAATTACTGGATAGCACTTTGCGAAATGAAAATTATACCCATTGGCAAGCTTTCTATCATGCTGTGGAATTTTGATAGTTTTCAATATAGTTGTAATGTTGTGATTTATCAATATCTCTTTTCAATTTTTTTTTAAATGCAATATTCATGTCATTCCGTGATGGGTTGTACCCCAGCACATTTTAGTTTTACCTTGAAAAAGAGGTTGTTTACAACAGACTGCACTAGACCATTCTAAATATATATGTTATATAAGAAATTTACCAATTATATACATTGGTTAGTTGGAAAGGATTAGGATTATTTAGCAGGAGCCCATCAGTGTGGAGCCCATCAGTTCGTCAGTCCAGTTTTATGCATAAGAGCACATTCAGAACAACGGACTTACAGATCTGCAGATCAAATATGTCAGCCCTTGCCGTTTTATTCCTGATTAGACACTGAAAATATTCCCTGTGGGGATTATACAACAAACATTCAAGTGGGTCGGCCATATTTGATCCACGGAGCTGTCAGTCTGCTGTTCTGAATGCGCTTTATGGGAAAATGGATTTGATCAAACAGAAATGTTGATATGAATTACTGATTGATTCAATGGGGATATCTGTCTTGATATTATGCCAGATGCTTTCGTCAGCGATCAGACTAACATAATACTACAATCATGCCATGTAGAACTTAAGATTTGGTTTGTGTGATCAATACATTCAGAGTTACTGGTAGTTTTGAGTATGTGTGTTTTAAGTCGTAAAATGCTAGTTCTTAGTTAACACATTTTAAAGGGACAACTTTTTATTTTGGTAAAAAAAAATTAAACGATTTTCCTGGGGTAAACGAAGAGATTTTCCCCATACCCACCAATTGTTAATGAATGCATTCCAACATTAAAAACTTTTTTTTTGTAATAATCTCTATAGAGATTAATTGCAAAATTTCTTAATCTCTATAGAAATTAAGTACTGGGATATAGCCATCTGTGAAGGTCCATGTCATCTGATGGCAAGCACAGAATACAAAATAATTGCAATAACGGCTGTTTTGGTGGTAAAATGGGATTTATTATATTTCTATGATTGTTTACAATATATTTATTGTGCAATATTTATCTCATACGAACAGCTGTTATCCCTTAAAACTTGGGCATGGGACAAGGAAATTCATAGAACTTTTAAACCCCCCCCCCCCCATAAAAAAAAATTATGCCAAATTGATGCTATATTATTCAGTCTTGTCTGAATGGTACCATTCTTTACATTTGGCTCAAGAGAATGGCCACATTTGATGCTGCCTATACATTGTGACATAAATCTAAACTGCAGTTGAATCATTTGTGCATTTGAGACTGTGTGGTTCTTAATCCCGTTTTAAGCTCAGACTTATTTATTAAAATCCATGCTGTGCAGACTACTTTTAGCCAGTAAATTGATCTCAACATTTTGACCAGAAATTTAATTGATCCACTTTACCTCAAGATAGATTCACAGCATAGTGACTATTGGACTGAAATGTCACCATGTCTTTCTTGGTGTAAAACAGGTCCATTCGTGAAAGAGGGGTGGAGTTATATAAAAAGAGTAACCAGTGAAGGTTTTAAAAATTGTTACTTTTGGTAACATCTCATTATTTCTGTGCTCAACTGCGCATGATTTCATATAATTGGACTACAACTAATTTAACTTGGGCCATTAAGTAAAAAAAAAAGTCTTCAAGTTTAGACCAATTTATGGACTGAAGTTGTTTTGTGAAACGTGTCCATATCTCTTGATTCAGTATATGATGTTTGGTGGGTCCTTGGTGGGTTCTACATGTAGGTTCAGTATATACTCTGGATACCATTTTGGATGTTTGGTGGGTTATTGGTGGGTTCTACATGTAGGTTTAGTATATACTCTAGACTCTAGATACCATTTTAGTTGCAGGGCTCCATTACTTGAAAGCATTGCAAAGCGCAAGTGTCTCTATTCCATAACTCGGGATTTATTCACCCTATATAGGCTCTAATGGCCTCGAAATGACAGCAGTGTGCGATGCTTTCGAGTTATAGAGCCCAGTTCTTCTAAAGTTGGGATGTATTAACGATGTACTTGCTATCTCAGCCAGTGGAGTGCATGGTTAAAAGTGCTATATTGGGAGTCACACTAACTTTAAAATCACCACTGAACTACATTAAGATTTGTCATCATTAAGGCATCATTGAAAGCCCATTGAAGACTAGACTACATGAATCTAGTTTGCTGACAGATGTGTTGTCCAGAAATCCTGACAAGTAGAAACTATAAGTGGTGTCAATAGTTAGGCATGGGATATCCCCCTGCTCTTCCCCACATTGTAAAGAGTACTAGCTTACCCTCAGGAACCCATTTCCTGGATATATTTGATGACAGGATTACTGATAATTAAGCTTATAGTCCAGGATAATGAGACATGTAAAATGCATTATTTTGCTTCACAGCATATGCATAACATATAGTATCACTATGTTATTAGATATAGCAGTAAATTTCTGAAAGTTACATGATCAAAAAGTGACAAGTTTTGAAAAATATTTTTGAAATGTAATCACCTTTTTCGTTGCAGAATGGGATTGGCCATTTCCTTAGTTTCTACAGTAAAGGAAAAGGTAAGAAAAGCAGATCAATAAAGTATATTTACCAATTAAGTTTTCCATTCACATGTAGACACAAAAGATAATAATTAAAGGTCCATTCTCCTCTCTCTCTCTCTCTCTCTCTCTCTCTCTCTCTCTCTCTCTCGCTTCAAATGAGAAACATTAAAGAAAAAATTTTGAATTTTTTTTTCATTTGATTAATGCACAAGTATGTATGCTCAATTTTATCGTTCTCTCAGGTGTGGTACCATTCAAACTGTCAAAACCGTGGCCGTGGGTGTTACAATACTGACCTCACCATTCATGGTGGCTGCTGCATTTGGTATGATGAACCAAAGGTATGTATGGCATAGAACATCATTGCAGCAGAAAATATTGCATTGTTGTGATATTAAACACTATACATTGTTCAAGTACCGGTAGGTGTTGCATTGTGGCAATAAATGTCACAATCTTGGTATCAATTAGATGCAAGTATTATTGTTGTTGTTGTTGTTGTTGGAACAAGAGAAAAAAGATGGACAGAAAAAATGTACTTTATACAAAAGGTAGGGAAAGGAATTTTTTTCCAATTAGCATTGCTTTGTGTAATTTATGACTGTTGCAGTTTAAAACAGTTTGTTTTATCTAAGCAATTTTCAGTGGTGAAGCTTTGACAGTCCGCTTCATATTTATCTAAAAACACAGATGCCAAAATGCTTCTACCAAACTCTGGCACCATTATATTAAAGCAGTGCTTTGACAAAAGACACTGAGTTTGACACACTGACAGCATCAACTGAGGATGTAATATAGAGGCACCTCCACTGTTTTGGTGCTAGTTACTTTACAAAATGTTACTTTGTTTCAATAAATGTAAGGGCTTATTCCAAATAAAACCATCCTTCTTCGTAGATCAATCCAAATTAACAGGGACTCTCGCTGAATGCAGTCAGATTGACAAATTAAACCCGCCTCTTATTATTTCCAGCGTACTTGCATAATCACAAGCTTTTCTGTTTTCTACTAAACGCCAGGAGAAGGTGTGTTATCTGATTGCATTCAGCAAGAGCCCTGGCAGAGTTGAAGCGATCTGTGTAAAATGAAAGTTTCATTGGGAATGGGACTGAGCGTTCCTGCCACTGTTTCATTATATCACTATAAGAGGTCTCAAATTATGACAAATTAAGCTTATCTTTCTAAGGCCATACTCAAATGTCAAAGCTTTCATTGAAATAGTGAATGACAACTTATTGGGTAATAACTGTAAACACTGACTGCCATGCATAGAGATTTTGTATCAACTTTCAACAGGACCGGTATTTGAAGTTGTAATTGGTGCACTGTATATGTAATCAAATGAACATGAGTTTATAGATAATGACACATAGCTGAAGCAATAACATAAATTGTTGTCAAGTATTCTATCATAATAGCAAGTTATGTAAAGTGAGTGTAGCAACTTCGTTAATACCATACTCTGAAAGGAAAGAGAAAAAAGTGTCACATTTGAGTAGCATGTATTTGATGCATCTTTTACCACTAGGCTTCTCTTTTTAAACGTATTGACACTGTAATTAGGCCCAATCCATTAAAAAGATCAACTTAAAGGTCATTAAGACTGACTAAAAGAAGTAGATTAAGTTAAGCAACCAGCACCATCAAGAGGACAAGTTAATTAAGGGTAAATTGGTACTAGGATTTTTTTCTTGATCTTTGTGGAAATAAACATTCTCATGTTTGAGATAATGCTGTCACATCAAAAAATATACTGACAGTCAATGAAAACGCATCAGAAAACTTTCTTGCACTTTTGTACTCTTGTACTTTTACCGAGAATCGATTCCAAACTTTTAAATGAGTACAAATGCACTTGTTTGGTCATAAGAAAGTGGGCCGACCACTCGGATGTTTAAAATTTCTGCTTCAGTAATTTTGTGATCATTTGATTTTGTGATCAGCTGTTACAAAATCATGTGTTTTTCCTGATTGGTGTGAATTAATCAGGTTCAATATATGGTGATAAATTAAGCCTATTTAAGGTAGTCACCAAATCCAGTATGACACATGACATAAAAGTTCTGTGATGCCACGTCTGACACTGGAAGAGCGACTGCAGGCCCTTGGGATGCTGGAGGCTGGGCGGAACCAAAGGGATTTGATCATGTGACCTTGCATTTTAATGATCTTTTTTTAATGATTTTTTCTGACCTTTATTTTACCTTGTGTGACTGAATAATGGGTCATATTTCACACGAAAACTGTTATTGTCTTAATGTGCCAAAGGAACTTAAAATATTATTTGATATATAAGTGATGTATTTTCATTGACTGTCAGTATACATCAGGATGAATTTGCTTACTCAAGCAGTGTTTTTTTTTTGTTTTTTTTTTACTAAAAACTGATATCAATTTCAAACGTATCTCTCTAAGTCTATCTGGCCTGAACAACTAACAACACAGCTTTGATGCCTATTTATAAGTACTAGCTATTATCTGGTGCCATTTTTTGAAAGATTTATTTCTGATTTTATCAGTAATGTGAAATATTACCATTGTTTAATGGAACAGTAGTAAATTAGAGCTCATATCTCCTGAAAGAAAAAAAAGGTTTAAAACCAAATGCTGGCACCAAATTGTGATTCACACCCTAGTCATCAAAATGCAACCATGCCAATTTTCTTGATAATATCTTATATAGTTTTAGAGATACAATAGAATACTACAATACATAATACAATAAATAAATAAATACTACAACAAATCACTATCCAACACCAATAAACAAACCAGAAAAAATTGGTATTTAATTCTTGGGCACTCTGTGTGCTTAAGCTGGCAGAGGGGTAAAAAATGCATCAGAAAAGGAACTTTGTGCTCTAAAGGTATTTATTTTTATTGCAAAAATATAAAGAATATTAAGTTCACATAAAAGAAATGTGAAAAAAGTTCTTTCACCAAATAAAGGCTTTTATAAAACATGGATACCCCTTAAAGGGATAACAACTTCATTGAAATAATAAAGAAAGTTGAATGTCTCTTCTGGGAGGAATTACACACTGATAAATTCAGTAAACTGAGAACCTATAAAGCCCTAAAAAACTCGTACAATGGCGAAAAATACCTGCAACTCGACATTCCAGCCCATTACAAAATAGCAATATCAAAACTCAGGCTTAGTGACCACAATTTACAAATTGAAAGGGGGAGACAAACATATCCTAAAACACCAATGGAAGAAAGATTTTGTCCACACTGCAAAAATGTTATTGAAGACGAAAAGCATTTTCTCCTGATCTGCACTCAGCATCAACGTGAGCGTAAAAAAATGTTTGATTCCCTGTCACGATTCTCTGGTCTATCAGGCACTGATGATGATAGCAAAATAATACAAATTCTCAATCCACAGTGTCGTGCAAGTGCATCAGCAGTGGCCAAGTTTATACAGTCAGTTATGCCTAAGTAGCAAATGCATATTGTACAAAATACTATATTCAGTATTATTATATTGTGTCTTACTATTGTCAGCTATATGAATGAAGTAGTTAGCTTACATGTATTTTGGCAATGGAATGATCTAAAGAAGTTATACTTATTTAAGTGTATACAATTACAATTTATGTAAAACTGTAGTTTAGAGAGCTTGTAAAATGTAACTGTACACATTTTAATGCTCAATAAAATTATTATTATTATTATTTTGGCCAAAAAATGGATTTTCCTGGGCAAAACAACGATTTTCCCATGCTGACTTATAATGAATCCATTTCGTTGTTCAAAGTTAGTCCCTGGCTTTTTTCTAAAAAGTTTGGTTTTTTGTAATAATCTTTTGACAGACATTGAGGGTAACCATCTAAGGAGGTCACAGCACAGATTCCATCTAATAATTGTGTCACTGCCCTTTTGGTGATAAATTAGAATTTATTTTATTTCTATGATTTGTTTACAATGTATAATTTCGAAAAATGGATCTCACAGGAAGAGTTGTTATCCCTTTAAGAGAAAGCCTTATTTGTCACCCCAAGTGATAAATCTTAGTCATATAGCTGTACTGGTTATTTTGATAGATTGACAACTTGTTTTTAGATCATTTTTTAGGATGAAAGGCCAAAGTTTTAAATTAGAAAATCATTCATTTGGGACTTGATGTATGTGTAATGTGCACTTGTTTTCCAGAAGGCCATTAAAAAATGATCTATAATACTTGTATGTCAGGGGGCCTTGTAAGAAACATTGTTATTGATAAGGAGTGCCTGGAGAGAACTGGTTTTATTGGCACTAATTGGTAGCAGAATATTCCCTGTGAATTTGCAGACTTAATTTTCCATGGAGATTTTCTCAAATTGCAGCAGCTTTGCTCATAATTAAAGGGATGATAACTCTTTGTTTTGGCCAAAAAATAAATTTTCCTGGAGTAAACAACAATTTTCCCATACTTACCAATGTTAAATGAATCCATTTTTACATTCAAAGTTACGTAGTCGCTGGTTTTTTTCTAAAAAGTTTGGTTTTTTGTTAAATCTCTTAAGAGATTTTAACAGAGTATAGTCATCAATGGAGGTCACGTGGTCTTAAGACAAGCTCAGATATCAGAATAATAGCTCTATAACTGCTGTTTTTGTGGTAAAACAGAATATATTATAATTCTTTGAGTTATTCACAATGTTTTTATTGTGAAATATAGATCTCATACAAAGAGTTATTATCCCTTTAAACTTTGCCACACTTTGTGAATTCCTCTTGAAAAACTTTTTGGTGAAGAGCACTTTCTTTTCTTAAAAATTGCAGGAATTTCTTGCAAATTTTTCAAATGTTNGGCCAATTGTCATTAAACTCACAGGAGTGGTCAATCTTACTAAAATGCAGGTTGAGTTCGAAAATCAGCATAATCGGGCCATTATTTTAGAAGTTATGCTGTTTTTTCACATTTCCTCAGATTAAATTCTTAGGCATGTTAACAGTCTTATTATTTTACTAATAAGATACATAAAAGTGTTTGTTTGACATTTCCTGCATCTTTACAACATTGTAAGTTGATTATGTAAAAATGATGGTAAACTTGTTATCGTGTATTGTGTAATAAAGTGTCAAAAATGGAAATAAACTCATATCATTGCAGTTTGTCAGATTCAATCATTAACTATGTTCAGAATCTCAGAATGGAGGAAATTGGACATTTAACACTTTTCTATTGATATTTTTCCCATCTCATCAATTTTCTTAGTTGATCATATAAAAATTGCAGTAAACTGTTTATTTTGTTTTATGTTAAAAAAGTGTTAAAAATGGAAATAAATCCATGTCAGAACAGTGCTGTCTTGTTTTCCTAATTGCAGTATCTGGCCGACATTGAGGAACACTTGGGAGTGACCATTGACCAGGTGGAGCCTGACCTCAAGGTACCTGTCAACGAATTTGATGGAAAGGTGGTCTATGGGCAAAAAAGAACAGTTGGGGGTAAGTGGTTGGAAGGTGTTATACTAGTAGCTCTCAGAAAGTATATTTTCCTTTTAATTTAATTGTGTTTATACCTGAAGGGAATTGAGAGTTAACAGTGTGAAGAAAGTGCATAGTTGTGAGTTAATTGGTAATCTGAGGTATCAAACACGTAGAGAAGACATTGTTAGCGTCAACCTTCTCACCAACACCTCTAAGACTATATGGTACATGTACCACATTTAAATGAAGCTGTGACATTTTACACACTGCTGAAAATCTGATGTAAATTCCCTCCCCCCCCCCCCCCATGTGATGCATGTACTCATGCTTTTTCTGTTTACCCACGTCTTTCCCATACTCGCACTTTATTATTATTTATTGCAGCTCTTTTTTTTCTCTTGATAATAGATAAATATACAATTACATGGGGTGTGTTTTCACTTCAGGAGAGATATGTTGTGATCAAATGGTAATTACTACAATACATCCCCAATTAGAGAAATGTCAAGCAAGAAAGATATGTTATACTTAATGAAATCTGAAGTCAGTTTTTGATATTTCTGACATTTCAATCATAACTTGAGTGTGGACAGTGGGGATCATGCATGTTTTGCAACTCTGTGAAATATCAAATGAGGTTTGAAGAAAAGAGGGGTCCAAAAATAATGGCGGACTAGCAAGTACAGTGTGCCAACAAATAAAATCTGACAGAATTTTTAAAGTCCATTGCTGAACAAAGTTGCCGTGTTTTGCATATTGCTTTAATTTGTATTTTTTTTCAAGGTAACATTCCCAATTCATAGTTTTAATTTGAATCATTAAAAAATTTAACCCCTCATTACGTGAACTCTTTAGGCTACCTTGAATGATCCCCATTGACCTTTGACCCTTGCCATAAGGTAAAATCATGTCCACATGCAGGATGCAGTTGCCATCTCAGTCAACAGGGGCAGATTGAGGTCGTTTTCTGGGTCTTCTGGAAGACGGTCAAATTTTCAAGTTTATATTGATGAGTATCTAATTGTTTCTGTCAGAAGACAGTCAAAAATGGAGGACAGATCAACAAAGATAATTTGGAAGACTGTCAGAAAATATCTCTGTATCAACCCCTGCAACAAATATAACTTTTTCCTTTTCATGTTTTTATTACAGGGAGTGGTTACAAAGGTCATGTGGAAATGCTGGCACCAACAGTTTCTGAACTAGCAGCCCTGGAGAAAAAGGCCCAGACCTCCTTTATTAACATGAAGTACAAAAAGACCCTAGTGACGACCAGATAAAGATGTTTTATTTGCCTGTTGTCTATTTGTGGCACTGTTCTGCCTGACCTTCACATCTTTTAAGTTGAATTTGCAGTTTCAGAATCAGGCGAATTTAACAAAAAATCCACAGAAATCCTTATTATAAAATAAGGTAAAACATGGAATCCCTTTGAAAATAAGTTTTTTTTTTTTTTATTAGTTTTGGTTTCCAGATGTCAGTGCTTAAGTAGAATTAGCCTTTCTGTACTGTGTATGTGCAGTTTTGTGACCAGAATCGGATATATATTCAAACGTTTCATTCAAAGATGTTTGTTAAAAAGAGAGAATGAAACGCAAAAGGTTTTTTTCTGAAAATACAAGCTTTTAAGAACAGTGTACAGAGACATATACAAAGCATTGCATTCTGCTTAAAAGCATGAATTTTAGTTACAGTAATGCTGTGGTTACAGTAAACTGAAATGGAACTTAATGAAGATAAACTCTTACCATCACTTATGATGAAAAAATAGAGATTTCACAAAAAATGCCAAAATACCATTATTGCAAACCGAGTTTTGTGGAGGTTGAGTATCCACTTTGTAAAAGTGTATGCTCAGATCATTCTGAATGGCTGCTGTATGGAGTTCAGTAGAAAGTGTTCAAAATCATCTTTTCTGACTTTAATTTCTTATGGTACTAATTGCAAATAAAGAGCTCAAAAGCTGGTTTACGGATCTCAATTAATTTTCTCTGCAGGTTTGGATAAGGTTGATGGTGGTAAAGAAGGGAGATCAGGAATTTTTTTTTCTGTTTAAAACACAGTTGTGCATTGCATATAAATCTATGAATTAAATGCCTGCTTGTGGAATCCCCCATCCTTTTGATCAAAAGAAATGGGAAATGACAAATAATTTTGTTCTCTGACCAGAACTACATCAAAGACCAGAGAACAATACACTGTACAAGTGGCTTTCACAGAATGGAGATGGTCTCTTTATTCGAGTTCAAAAAGACTGAGATTTCTAATAATTTCACCATTTAACTGTCATCATTATTGCAACAAAGAAAATATAGTTCTTGACAAAGTGATGCCATCATGTATCAGACTGCACAAGTACAGTGGTAATGGCTGAACGCCCTCATTAAAAACTTTCATAATAACATTCAGTTTTGCACAGTTGTTCTAATACTTTGAAATGGGAAAAATCTACCTAACCTACATACCTTAATACTGGCAGACAAACCTTCTGCTCAAATTAAAAATATCTTTTGGTTTGTCATATTTAAAGCCCATCATTTGGAAAAGAAAATATCTGATAGAAGTTTTAATATATTTTTATTTACTTCAGTCTACATCCCCCCATTCGACAAACGTCCTTGTAGAATGTTACTTTTAAATATAAAATTAATCATCTTTCTGTAGTCTATAACATTTCTAGTTCATACTGGTTATAGGACCACAATAGCGTCATCATCTTCGTTAACTTGTTCACTGTTCAACTTTCTGGCTTTTTTCGAAGCTGGTTCTTCCACCTCATCTGCCTTACGTTTCCGAGATATAGCACTTGTTTCAACAATCATTTCCTCTTCCTCATCTTCAATAATTTCTAAATCGTCTTCATCATCAATCTCTGCTGGTAAAAAAATGAGACATTAATCTTATATTCATTTTCCATGGACATGTTATTAATAACTATAAATTTAGCTTGTTTTGAATGATTTATTGGGAAAAAATTAAGAAAAATGGTTATACAGTTCAGTACAATGGTCATTAAGCATTCACTTGTAAACAAATCATTGAAAACAAATCATAAGATGAAATATCAAATCAACTTTCACTGGAATACACATTTTATTTACTAAAATCCTGCCAGGGCCAAGTTTCATCAACACTGAATAGCATTATTCTATGGATAACACTATCCATTGGATAAAATTTTATTCTCTGGACATATATCCTGAGGATAGCAGCCTTTTTTTACCATTGGATAACAATATCTGAGACAAAAAAGTTTCTAGCATTTAGAAAACATTACTGACCACAGGATAACTGACCATCTGGAGGAAACAATTTCATCCAATAGATAGTGTTATCCAGAGGATAGTGCTATCAAATGTTGATGAAACTGGGCCCCCCCCCGAGTCTTAAATTATACTCAGTCTGGTAGTCTTACTTTGGCCCTGACCATTGTTTGAAGCACTATTATCAGGAGCTGTGTTGGATGGAGTAAAGGATGACACAGTTGTGGCTGCTGCTGCTGCTGCTGCAGATGCCTCAGCAGCTCTGGCTTGCACTTCAGAGACATCTCCTACTACTTCAAACTCCTTCTCTTCTTCTAGTTTATCTCTGTTGAAGAAAATGGAAAGATTGGTGGGTTTTTATCTAATAGCGTTACATAATTTTTTTTTTCAAAATGAAAATAAAATGTTTGTTCATGACAGCCTAAGTTCAGGAGACAAAGGTAGCTAATACCTACACAATCCAGTGGACACGTTTTGTTTTAATTACTTAACTTGCATGTTTACTTACCAAAATTTGTTTTTTAGCAGAAATTTTTTTTGTTTTTTGTTTTCTTTTTTGGCTAGCTTGAGCGTGAGCGTTTTGAATCAACCCTTTGGACAAAACAAAAGACTAGACATTTCATAATAGAGTGATTTGAATCATCACTTTGGACAAAATAACAGACTGATATTTCATAATATTTGAAATGAAAAGAGGTCTAAATGTTTTGTGAAACATGAAGCTAATGTAGTTGTACTGTAATATTTTTTCAATCAATCATGAACCAGAACATGAAACATCTGTTTTACTATTTTCCATACTTGGCTTGGCAAATCAACAGGTGTATACATGTCAATGTGTGTGTGTGTGTGTGTGTGTGTGTGTGCGCGCGCGTGCGTCTTAATTCTAATGATGACAAAAAAATGTCACTTACACATGAAGGAGAGTTATATTGAGATTATATTCCTGCAAGAAATCATCACATTTAATACGACTGCCGTTCTTGATTCCAAAGAAACTTAAGGGTTTTGCAGCATTCTCTGAAAATAAAATATGACAGCATATACAATGTGTTACCATCTCAATCTGGGTGAATGATTTTTTTTTACATTTTCTTTAACAGCTGGATAAACAAGTCCCAAATATGAAAACATGTTGAAATTAAGCTAAAAACACTATTATTGTGAAAAAAGGTTTTATTTGTAGTGTAAAAAGGGAAATATCAATTCAACCAGAATTTCACCCTATTATTATTATCTAATTTATTTATTTATTTATTTATTTATTATTATTTATTTTTTTCTTTTTTTTTTTTTTTTTTTGGGGGGGGGGGGGGGGGGGGGCTAAATTCCCACACAGAAACAAAAGCATATAATACTTGTCTTAAGTTTCAAAGGGGTGCACTAATGGCAACCCTGAACTGTCATATCTTTCCCATATGCGCCACCTCACCTTCTGTCTCCCCCTCCTCACTGGATATAATAATTGTCCCTGCAAGACAGAAAAATATGGCTTTGAAAATGTTTTTAAAAGTTTCCAAATATGTAAGTTTTACTACAGTTTGTTACTTTTAAACGTATAGAATTTGATTCTTCAGAAAGACAGAACCTGCTGTTTTGGAAAATAAACTACTTTACACTTTTTGGTCCTCTTTCCAAATCATGTGTACGTACCTTTTCCATCATCTAACTCTACATCTGGTGCAACCAACCCAAACTGTCCTTTTATAACCTGCAAAAATACAGTCATTTAAAAGGCAACTTGAGACTAAGACTTTAAATCAAGCAGCATTCACAAGGAAAATTAAAAGCATTCTATAAAGTTTTTAGGCAATTTGTTATATTTTTCCAGTAATATTTAGATATTACTGATATTTTTGAACATACACACATAATAAATAAAATGAAACAAAAAATACAAAAATTATAACCTAACGAATTTATAATCAAATCACACATTCAAATACATTCAGAACAGCGGACTAATAGATCCACAGATCAAATATGGCCGACCCCTTTGAATGCTTGTTGTTAAATCCCCGTTGGGAATCTATTTAGTGTCTAATCAGAAATTAAACAGCAAACTTTTAAATTAGTAACCATATTTGATCCACCGATCTCTTAGTCAGCTGTTCTGAATGTGCTCTAACTGTGTAAGAATGGAGTCTGGTACTTACTTTGTCCTCCAGAGATTTGACTGTCATGGAGGTGGTGTTGACCTTGACGGTGACCTCTGGTTTGGAGGAGCAGACATAACATTTTGGATTTGGGGGGTCCAGCATACAAGGAACAAGCAGCTTCTTTCTGGAGTTAGGATGTCTGTTGAGGTAGACCTGAAGAAAACCAGACTGATTTTTTTTCTTCCATTTTCTAAACATATTAATGATAAATTGAAAAAAAAACTCAACATCAGTATCTTATTTCCAACCTTATGTTTTAAGTTCTTCTGCTACTTTGATAATATTTTTTTTCATAAATTTTAATTTTTAAGGCCGTTTCAAACAAGATTCATTATGTACTCTTTACTTTAAAGAGCCAAAAATGACAAAGTTTGTTCTGTACATGTCAATTTGATATATGCTATTTCAGCCTTTTTAAAAAAATTACATGGTGACCAAATGTTCACGTAGATACTTCAAAACTCTCGAAATTACATTTACTTTTTTGTTTTGCATTAGTTTCAACTGTCAATGCTTAATATTGAGAGGCAAATGTTGATAACAATGCTTTTTTACAGTCTACTTTTTGTATTTTCTCACCGTTCGGCAGTCATTAATATTTCCAGAGAGGATTTTTAACGCCTCCATGACAAGCAGCCCTGCTATGATGGCATTTGTAGTGGCAATGGCAGGTATAATATTGCCAGCCATAGCTGAAATAAAAAAGTTCATTTTAAATGTCAACATTAAACAAAGATTTCAAACCTAGTAACTTTTAATTAGTTACCTAGCCCCTAGCTTTGTGTTAGAATTTTTTGTTACTTTTTCAAGGATCAAAGACATTTTGAAACATGTTTGAAATGCTATATTTCACCAAATACTTCAAATTCCACCAATCAAGTATCCACATTTACAAAATGATCTTTCAAAAAATTGTATCTGGTGATCACTTGATTATTCAATGACGTGCAGATTTCATATAAGCCCCCTTTAGACTGGACACGGCCCTGTTTGAGAGTAAAAAAAAATTATAATACTTCACGTGCCAACAACTGGCCAATCATTGAGCATTCATTCTACAAGCAAAGCAATGCTTGTGCCTCTTTTCTATAACCACAGCAATGCCAGTTTCATGATCACATAAAGGACAAAGAAAGGGCCCCGTCCAGTGTAAAGGGGGTTTTAGTCACCAAAAATCATAAACAGAAAATACACAAAAGATGTTATTTACATTTGATATCAAACCTAGATTTGATAGGAATACCAAAGATGTAGGCCCTGATGTTAGCTGCTGCTGTCACGAAGTCCATGGCTGCAGGCTCATCCTAGAGACAAAAAAGAAAGTGAAACAAAAATTCAGAAAAATGATAAAAATCAATCAATTAATTAAGCCGTATATTCAATAATTGTAATATGGCTAAATGGACTCCTTGATGCTCATACTAATCCAACTCCTACGTGTGGTACTTGTTCTGACATTCCAGGCGACTCTCTCGCTCTGATATATCATTCCACTTATTAAACAAAGTAAAATTATATCTTCTATTTTGGATAACAAATGAATAAATCGTCTTTAAATAATTAGTGCACATCTCTCCTACACCTTAAAAAATAAATCATTAAAAGAAATGCTGTAATATTTTGCCCATATTTCACAATAATAATATATATTATGGTTTGTTTATAAAAAAACATTTTAAATGTGTTATGCCATATATTGTATACTGTTTATATTAATTACATGTCCTTCAAAAAGAGAGAATGAAACCTGAAATCAAAATTTACATAAATTTACACAATTTGAAGACCTTCTTATGACAGCTTGTTCACATGATTGGAATTTCTATTTTCTGATGTCACATAAAAGCAGTCTCAAGGGTTATGTTTTTTTATTCACCTTATCCCAAACCAGGATTCCTGCATCCCCTTGTTTCTGCAGTTCAGATTTCAACAAGTCTACGCTCTGTTTAAATATATCAGCACATTCCTGAACACTCCATATCCTCTGGTCATGGATGAGGTTCATATTGTCTGAACTGCCACCTACAGTAATAAATTCAAAGTACATAGGAACTACTGTGGCAGTGTATATCACAGGACACTTTAGCACTTAGAAAGAAGTTAAAGATATTTCAATTTGCTCTGGCTTAAGAAAATGTGTGAAAATGTTGTGTTGGTTTTAAGCGGTACATCGTTAATTTGCTGAGATAAGCATTTGGTTAAAACTAAAAATATTCTGCGGAACCCCCCTTCAAATGATCCTGAATCCGCCCCTGAAGTACCTGTATTTGGCAGACTGTCAAAGTCCAAGGGCTCAGGCGGTCTCCTCTTCTTCCAGAGACTCTCCATAGACAGCAAGTAATGGATGTCATCACGAAATAACTGGAAATCAAATATGAGAATAAATTAGTTCATCACATTAATGTGAATGGCTGCATTATAACCAGTCTAGCAGGTTATTGATGCTTAAATGTATGTAACATTTCTTTGAACTGATCCCGCTATTAACTGTGCTGAATAAAGTACAGTGATCTATAAGAACTAAACTGATGCCATTACTGATTGTGCTCAATAAAGTACACTGGNTTTGACTCGTTCGCATTCATTGGCTAGATCGTTCAATGAGTCATTGAGTGCGGGCTTTAAATTTGATTGGCGGGCGGCGGGGGCACTCGAATCTGGTCAGAGGTTACTTGACACGATGGAAATAGGCTACAGTGAAAAGGTTAGTGTCAAGTTAGCTCTGAAGCTCAGGGTGACACTGGCCTATATGAACTGAAGTGATGCCACTACTAATTGCGTTCAATAAAGTATACTGACCTATAAAAACTAAACTAATGCCACTGCTATTTGCATTCAATTAAGTACAATGACCTATAAAAACTAAACTGATGTCACGGGTAATTGGGCTCAATAAAGTACACTGACCTATTAGAACTGAAATGAAGCCACTATTAAATAAAGTACAGTGACCTGTTAGAACTGAACTAAGGGGTGGATGAAGGCCATCTTCTGGGTTTTCCGTAAGACTGTCGGAATTTTTCAAGTTTACATCGACGGGCAGCTAAATATTTCTGTTGGAAGACGGCCAAAAATGGAAGATAGATCAACAAAGATAATTTAAAAGATTGTCAGAAAATATCTCTGGATCCCTCCCTAGAACTGATGTTACCACTACCTGTGCTAGTAACTGCAGTTTCACCATAAGTGTACACAGAAGTGATGTATGCCATTCTTCGAAAAAAGGACTTACAAATGTATTTACAAAGAAAATTTTATTGATTACGCAATTAATTTTTTCATTCATAAAGGATGTGCAGGTCAATGGAGTACTCAACAATAGGTGCAGACCACAAGATTGTTTCTGCCTGTCCCTAATACCATGCTGTTGTGTATGTCACATATGATCAAGGGTTTTCCCCATGGAACCATCCAGTCATCATTTGGATGGCTACCATCATCACTGGACGGCCTATATTTTCAAAGATGGCTGGAGGTCTTATAATTTTTTTTTTTGAAATATGACAGCCTTAGGCATACTTGGAGTCCCTGAAATTTTGTAGGCAATTACAGGTGGTACTTTTGGACGGCCTGTACCCCTAATCCTAAGAAAAGCCCTGCACATGATACTTACCTTATTAAATATTTTCATGGGGTCATATCCTGTCTCCTGTGCCCAAATCCTTGTTGACTTCCTTTCTATTCCTCCTACAGTGTCTTCTTTGGCTTCACTTTGTAATGCCTGCTTCCCAGCATCCCCTAATGGTATACATACTTCATATTCACAAGCACTTTGGCTAGTCACTGAGGGTTCACAACAATCACATATTTAGCCAAAAAAAGTTGCAGCAAATTTGCAAAAGCATATTTTACTGGAAATATATTTTATCTGGATCCTAGCCATTATCTTCTGACACACGTTATTCCAGACTTAAGTTTTTTGTATGTGTATAAACGATCTCCATTCTTTACTTATCAGAACATGATTAATGTCAACAACAAAGTAAAATACTGTAAATCTACAATTGTTGTTTGGCTTGGTCAAAAAATAGTTCAGGGCTGAATGACCTTTGCATATGACCAAATTAATTCACTTCAATATTTTATGATTCTTAAATAACTAAGTCAGTAGTTTTCAATAGCACAAACACATGCATGCACACACACACACAAACACACACACGTACACACACACACACACACACACACAGTCACATACATTGTTCCACATATCTGAACATTACCTGCCAGTTCTGGGTCTTCTGTATCTGGAGAAACATCTTCATCTGGGTCAGCCTCCCCAAATAACTGGCTGCAATGTAAAACAAATTCACTGAAACTTTAACAGAATATATAAATTTAAACAAATGTGAGTTAACTTAAGTTTTCTACAGTCAATTTTAACAATGTTGTAGTTACAGCTGAAAGCTTGGATGTCTACTGATGTCATTTAGCATCCTAATTTAGAACCGATGAAAAAATGCCAAAAAATTTCCTAAGTGTGCTAGTCAGTACAGTTCAAGTTCGTACTATAACAAAGTTATGAAATCTTTTTGAAAAATAATAATTTTTTTATCATATGACAACTGTTTTTCACTGCTCTTCTCAGATTTATTGTTTCTATTCTTCTTACTTGAACAAGTGTTTAGCCCACACGATGCAGTGAATGGGCTCGGAGGGCGTGTTTCTAATGGTGCATCCTGGGAAGGTTTTCTGATGTGGTTTAGGCTGACATTCATAGCATTCAGTCAAACCCTGGAAAAAATTTTATTTCAAAAATAATGCAACAAGAATACAATGTAAATAAAATAAAAAAATAAAAAGAACAAGCTATCTATAGTACAGTTCTTCACATCTTTTTCCAGCATTCTGATCTACTTTCAAATGTCCAACACTCATCTGTTTTCCTGCCAAAAGAGATGGGGTAGTCACATACATTTTAAATGACTGTTACCTGTCCCAGATAACCTGCTGTCCCACTCTCCACCAGTAGTCACATGCCTTTATAATGACTGTGACCTGTCCCAGATAACCTGCTGTCCCACTCTCCACCAATAGTCACATACCTTTTTAATGACTGTGACCTGTCCCAGATAACCTGCTGTCCCACTCTCCACCAGTAGTCACATACCTTTTTAATGACTGTGACCTGTCCCAGATAACCTGCTGTCCCACTTTCCACCAGTGGTTTGTCTGCAGCCAGACACATCCTGTTCACGTGGTTACGCGCAGCTGGAGTAAGGAAAACAGATCATGGTGACTCCCTATGACCAACAGACAAAACACAATCAGGCAGACAAACAGAGTACAGACAAAACACAATGTAGGGCAACTAATGGGTTTCTGAATCTAAAAAGCTAGATTTTGTTTGGAAACAATTAATCAGTGCACTAATTAAGGTACAGATTAATAAATTTATTAGCCTCTTTTTGTAATAAAACAAACAACACCAGACATGCTGAAACTGTCGGTCCGATCGGTCATGACCGGGAAAATTTGTCTGGACCGGAAAAAAATAGTACTTGGTCAGTCCAAAGGACTGACAAGAGTTTTAAGAGCTGCAATTTTGAATTTACTGTCATCATTGGACATACTTCACTAATAAAATTATATGAAACCCAAAGCTTTTTTCCCTTCCATTTCAAACCTATCACATTCACAAACATAGTAAGCTACCCTAATCGTACTTGTAGTATCTGTCTCAAACGAAGAGAGTGGTCTTCAGTACGACAAAAATCCATTCGGTTCGGCAATTTTTTCATTACTGCCGGTCCAAATGTCTGGCCATTCTGAAAAGTTTTCAGCATGTCTGCAACACACAAAAATGGGTTGACACTACCTCTGTTATCCAGTGCATTCAGAACCACATCAAACTGCTTGAAAAACTCTGTATCATACTCCGTGCTGAAAAGACAACACATAATTTAAAATGATCTCTTCAAAATATTTTATGCAGGTTTGTATAATTTCACACTAGGAACCTTTATTTTACTATGTAAATGCATATATATTTTAATGAATCAGTTCTTGATTGGAAATGTTTCATTACATAAAACTATTATTCTAAGCACTTGGCAATTATTTTGTATGTGCATGATTAACCTCTTGACTTGCACATCCTAACACAAACAACGGAAACAACAGAAAGAATTGCCATTTGCAATTAGGCATGAATCATAAATGTATAAAATTTCAGACTTAATTAATTATTTATCATGAATTTTAACCTGCTACAGATTAACTTGGTTTTTAACAATGTATATAGATCTTCAAGCTTCGCATTTAACGCAAAATAACATTTTTAGTGTTTTTCATACTTTTGTCCTTACCTCATCACACTATCATGATAAGCTTTTATTTTTCCATCTGGATTAAACTTTAAGGCACTTTCTCTTGCAACCTGAATATGACAGAACAATAATTAATGTTCAAAGAAAAACAAAGTTTTAACACTTGAATGCTTGTTGTGAGGAATCAATTCAGTGTCAAATTTGGCATTTAGCGGCAAGCTTTTCAGTCGGTCGCCATATTTGATCCGCAGATCTATTAGTCCGCTGTTCTGAATGCGCTCTAATAGGTGACTCTCTTACATGACTACAAGACTCTCTCTCTCAAAGGGTACCTATGCAGACTGTATGGCTTAAGTATCCCCCTCAACTAAAAAAGTTCAAACCTTTAGTGTTATGTAGAACAACGAACCTGAAGTATAACTTTAGAGGACAAACTACATACCTGTGCCTTGGACTTTCCCACATGTTCCTTTCTGAACAGAAACTGGCGGTTCAAATTGCTAACATCTATGGTATCAAGATCAATCTGAAATGGATCATTATAATTGAATTACTCATAATACTGTTAACATATATCCCAAGTAAGTTGGGATGGTTTCCAACCAGAAGCAAACTCTCAAATGATCACTAGGGCCAAGCAAATTCTACCGCATCCAATTCTAAACAGTATCTCGTTTCCTGGCTTGGATATATTACTGGTCAAGAAGAGCTACTCGCCAACATGGCGGCTGACCAAACAATAAAAAAATTGTCAAGTTGTATCAGCAATATTAATTACTATGTACTATATTTTGCTTTTATATCACCCTATTTTATTTGAGATTACCCTTTCCTGTGTTTACTTGCAACTGGACTTGTGTTATCAAGTGTATTGCGCTGTGTTGCGCTGTATTGCAGTGTATTGCGCATTTCAGTCACACCCCCCTCTGTGTGCTAGCTGCTTGTCATTTAACAGTTATATGCAATTATATCTTTCATGGATGCCTAGCATACATAGAACATAAAAGAGACCAGAAATTGAACAGGTAACACATTAATTTTTATGCTTCACCTGGTTGCTGTAAAGTTATCACAAATTACTATCAATATCGTAAATGACAATCACATAAGGTATGTGTTTTCAAACAGTTCATCATATAAGGGATAAAAACAATGCTTACGACCTAACGATAAGCAGGAACATAAATTTCCTGTTTAAAATAAGTAGCTCTAATAATTTGTTTCTACATTTTATTGTTTGTCACTAATACTCCAGTCTGGCATTGTCTTTGTTAATTATAACTCGCACAATGATATGTATCACAAAGCGAGATTTGAGGTTGATCAAAAAGGAAATTATTAGGATGTACAGCATTCTTACCACTTCTATGTCTTTAAAACCAGTGAGAACTAAATTCTTTAGGAGTTCGCAGCCGATTCCTCCTGCTCCAACGACAAGAATGCGAGAAGACTTCACTTTTTCCTGAAGATCGTCGTTCAGCACGCCTAGATCAGCAGCCATTTTCCGGTTTCGCGGTGCAAATCATTTCTCACTGCTGATTCGCTATTAAAAGAGTAAATAAAATTACACGATAAAAAGCATGTGAACTAGATCGTATCAAAATATATAACCCAAACTGTAATGAAATGGGTGATAAGGTGTCATATTTCGACTGATATAAGTGATAAATTGATTTACAAGCTCAGCAAAATCAACCTCGTTTTGAAAGGAACTTTGGGCTGAAATATATTTATTTCAAACGAGACCATGTTTTGGAGAATGGCGTGATAAAGCTGGCTACAGCCCGCTGATGTGACATGTGAGGCCTATAAAAATGGTTTCAGATACCATTTCAGGCCAGCATCTAATTGTCAAACAACACACACACACGCGCTGTAACGAAATAACGAAGTAACGAAGCTGTATGGTTTCTAGTTGTAAATATACACTTTTATTGTCGTGATAAGTCACTTGTAGGGCCTACCCATTTTGGCCATACAATATTTTCATCAACATCGTTTTCTCAAATATGGAAAATTTATTATTATTATTTTTTTATTATTATTATTATTTCTGTAAAAGTGCAACCATTTTTCACTACTCGGCGACTTTGAAAAACGCCGACGGATGAATTGCATTAAAGATGCATACAAAACCAACCAAATGCCAGGATATAGTTTCAAGTAGTAAAACTAAGAGAATTACCAAAAGGCATTGATTAATTTTACCCGAAAGTGATGTTTGAACAGATTTTTCTGCTACCATTCTATGCTGTATGTCAATGGGGCAGAAAAGTACAGTAGGTCACGAAAGTAGGTTAAATTTCCAACCAAAAATTTAAGGAAAGGAGCAGTCTAAAGCTCTTTTATGGCTGATCGGGTGATTCATTCAGTTTATCCCTTGGCATGTCGAATTTATTAGAGTCGTATAAGAAACTAGTAGAAGTGGTTTACATATGTTACTGGGAATCCACGCTCCACCGATGCTCGGTTCGTATGTACCTTTGAATTGCACTAGGTTGCCATCTTCGCACATGCCCATTATTTGATTAAATTCGCCCATCTCCTAGCTGTATATCAGGCCCGTAGCCAGCAATTTCAAAAGCGGGGTTCTTTTTCTGAAAAAGTGGACCTTTTTCCATAAAAACTTCATTGCCTAGATCAAATTTTGCCCAGAGTGGACCTTTTCCCAGCAAAAGGGGCGGTTCTTTCGAACCCCCCGAACCCCCCTGGCTACGGGCCTGGTATATAATATCATGACTGCAAATAACAAAGAGTTTCGACAAATCCCGATGTTAAATGTGACAAGATAAACTAACCATTGAAAAGTGGCACTGGCTAATGCCCCTTGGCTCCACCCTTTTTATGAAAAGAAACCTGAAAGAGGTGAAAGGGGAAACTAATGCCTTCTTCATTTTTCTATTTTGAAATTGAGACAGAAAGCATTGCCAAGCGCCTGGCCTGATAACGGTCCACTTTAACAAGGTTGAAATGGAGAAAGTTATATCAGCATATATGGTATTTCAAGTTGTGACACCATTGGGATTTAAGACCCTTCAAGGTAAGTTATTGGCCAGGGTGGGGTGTAAACAATGAACTAAATTGTCATTCATCTATAAATATTACAACTCTTTTTTCACTGCAAATTTAACCAATGGCATTTTGTGCAAGGTCTTAGACAAAATTGTTTTAAATTAAAGAATGTTTGGGGACTGTTTTCTAGTCAGCAAGTGTAGACTGTTGTTTTCTATTTACAATTTACTCAAGGAAACGCGTAGTACACACATTTTAGAGGTCAAAAGCTCTTTTAATTTGTCACAAACTTGGAAAAACTCCATCACTCGTGCAAAAACTTTTTGACATGCTATCGGCCAACTTTCAGATCTTCATCGGTCACAATGTGACACTGGTAGCGTTATGTCACTGGTCTAGAATACCAGCGACATGAACCACCCCACCACCCCCCACCCAGTGCTGCTTTTGTGGTACTAAGAGGCTATCGTACAGGTGAGCATCTACCTTCGTCATTGTTTATATTGTTCAGATCGTGAAGCGTTTTCCTGATCCATATGCCTTCCTTATCCCTCTTATTCTCCAGTCACTTTCTTTTTCTAGAATCTTAGCATTCTCCCAATCCAGCTGCGCCCCCTCCTTCAAATAACCCTGGATCTGCCCCTGAATGTTCCTTTTCGTTCAAACTGTAATATTTGTAATACCCCATTCACCCCCATTGGGTCATATTGAGACTAACGGAGGTGGCCGATGGCATGTCAAAATATTTCGCGATAGTAAGAAGAGTAGGCCTAATAAGTTTGTGACAAAAATGCTTTTGATATCTATTGTCTGCCACACTGATGAAACTTTTTTACGCACATTTCACATTGCAATTGTTGGCTTTGATTAATCGACATTTTGGAAACCTCCATTTTTGGGAGCCTGCAAATTTAAATTATAATTTAAATTTGCAGGCTCCCAAAAATGGAGGTTTCCAAAATGTCGATTGTAACAACCAACCCCCCAGATGAAACCCTTCTTTTTGCCATAAGTCCGTCATCACACTCCTGAGGATCGAGGCATCTTTTTACATGATAAGTTGGTAAGTTGTAATTGCAATAGTTGGTTTATTTTTCGCTTACGACAGTGAACCGTTTTATTTCAACAGCTTAAGAGAAACTGAGGTTCAGGACTATCATTCTTAATTCCATAAATGACCAATTGAATCAGATGGTTTTGTGTGGTTTTGTGTGAATTTTTTTAAAGTCTACCTTTACGGTTACTATAATAATCATTTTAATAATTGAAATTGTATATCCAGTTACTTTATCTACATTCTAAATGCAGATAATTTTTGCTCACAGAGTCATTGGTAAATACCACCACTTATGACCGTGTGTGTTTAGTTTCAATCTTAGTGAAATAGTCATTTTTGAACATTGTGTTTTGATGATGTGGAGTTGTTCGTCAGTATGATTTTTGAGAAGATCTTAACCCGCATACTAACCTTGTCTAACCAACCCTCACATCTTTGTGAAATCTGACTTGATGTAAATGCTTTTGAATAAAGAGATTATACATTGATAGCTTGTGCACAGCACACAGTCTCCTCTTCTTGATGGATGCTGGGTGCACACAGTCATCTCTCAAGACAGAGAATCACATATTACTAATATTCAGATTTTCTCAAGTGCTTTAGTAGACAAATATATCCACTTCATTACATATACACCTTTGTTCCGGATAAAAAAATCATATTGATATTTACATGGACGTATTACAGAGTAATGTGAGATCTGAGATATTTCAAAGCAAGCTTGCTTTATTCTATTTATTACTTGTATCATACAGGTAGTTGCGATTTCAGGGCAAAATTACATATACATTTGAGAAACTACGTTTTAGATGCCTGAGTTGAAATCATATTGCCTGAATCTGTGTATGATCTGATTACGTAGAAAGAGCTATACTCAAGTTAAAAACTTTAAAAGGATGCTTTCGGGATTTAGACAGGTTTTCCCCACGGCCCGCATTAGCCGACTGACTGCGTTCTGAGGTTAGATGATAAAGACAGGAATGGAAATTCTTTAAACTGTCAATAATACTACAATTTATTAATCCATTGCGTTTACATAATTCATTAATGATGACTAAATTAAAGTCCTTTTGAAATTGAATGTAACTGTTCAAAATTGAACATAATAGTTGAATAAAAATTATATTCTATACTTGGTTTGCAATTTTGCGATTTCTTATATAAAACCAGGCAATGTCCAGGTAATAAATTTATTTTTGGTTTTGAAAACGAAGTTGATGTGTTTCTCTCCGGGAATAACTCGAACCAATACCAAGACTTTGAGTCAGATTAAAGCCCCTAGAATTAACTTCTTACATAAAAAATCCCGCTGTAGATGTAAGAACCCAACACGCCTTGCGTTAGTGAAGGGGCGGATTACATTGATCTAAGGTTGGCCTCTTCAGTTGGTGGAACGTCAACAAAACGGGCATAATAAGCATACAATTTATTGCAGTACTTAGCATATGTTGCTGGAATTAACACCATTTCATTCAAGCTTGGCATATTATATAGAAAGAAAGGCACAGTGTAATAAATGCGTTAGTTGTGAACATGTGAGAGTCAGTCAACTAAGCTTTCAAAGAGCGCCAGTGCAGAGCATGAATGTGTTAGCTGTGCCATCCGGCACATTCTTCAAACGCATTTGTTTGGCTCCTGGGACGCCTTCTCCTGGACTGCCTGTGCGAATTGCTCGAACTGGTTGAAGTCGTTAAGACCATACGCCAGGTCAGACCCTTGCCCAGTGATGATCTCGAGTTCGCAGGCGCGAGCATTGTCAATGCCCATAGCAAAGAGCTGTACCCCTTTCATTGCCCTCAGTTTATCGGCCTCTTCTGCCAGCTGACTGCATCCTCTGTTACAACGGCCGTCGGTGATGACGAAGACGTGAGTGGCAGTGTCCGGGTTGTTAAGGCGGCTGACTCCTTTGCCAAGAACATTGGTCCTAGTGTGACGCAGTGCCTCGGCCGTGGCGGTGGCGGACCCTTGGCGATGACGCAAGGCAATGATTTTACGGTTCAGTTGGTCAACGCCAGCGTGACTCTCGGTGAATGGGATCGCCGTCTCGACCTCGTCTCCGAACAGCACCAAGGCTATCTGTTTCTCTCCGTCCTGGCCACTGCCCATTGTGGTAGGACAGAAGGAGCTGGTTAGAATTGCCACGCCTTCTTTGGCGCGCTCGAAGGCCTCAGTGGATATGCTGCCTGACGTGTCCAACACAAACACGATATCGCGGTTTATTTTCCGCTTGGGCTTGATCTCGCGCTTGCTCAAGGCTCCTATTGGGCCCGAGAGAACTGAGGGACCTCCAGACCCCAGCATTCGCATTCTAGGATCCCATGGAAATGGGGGTCTGATGGTTGGCAATACAAGTGTAGGGTATGGCCTAGGGTATGGCCTCGGGTATGGCCACGGCCGAGGGTTGCTTCCATAGATACATGCGTCTGCCCAGCTGGTCCCTGCCACAACTGCAGGTCTGTAGTTTGGTGAAGAGGAAAGGTCCATTCCCAGGGCTCCAGCGAATCTGTTAGCAGCGCCTCGTAGACCCACTGAGTCTAAAATACACCATATACATAGTTGAAAATTTTTAAAAATTGCTTTTGTGTGCAGTATATATATATATATATATATATATATATATATATAGAGAGAGAGAGAGAGAGAGAGAGAGAGAGAGAGAGAGAGAATAAAAAACACTGAAGATTTTACTGAGCCTCTTTCTCTCCTCCTCTCTCTCTCTCTCTCTCTCTGACTATGCCTATTTATATTTATATATATTAGAATGAACTCATTTTAAAATAAGATATATGTATAAGATGTGTTGAAGACTATCTCCTTTATTTTAATAAAAGAAGTGAAATGAACTCTGCAAATAACCTACCGATATTGGTCACAGATCTTCTGCGTCTCAGTTTGGACACGCGCGCTACCATTTCATCTCTAGCTTTATCAAGGTTTAGGGCGGCAAAGCCTCTGAAAATGAAAAAGTTTTCCATATTACCATGTGTTGTCTATGAGCGAATGTATAAACGAGCATGTGGACAAGTGTTATACATAGAACGCTTTTTAAAATGCTGACATTAAAACGGTGCAAGGATAAATTTTACACAGTTCATGAAATAAAATTACTAGTTACTGTATGTTCTGCAACGAAAAAAAAAATGTACCAGTTTGTACAAGAAGTCAAAGTTTTAATTCATGACTGGTGATTTTTTATCATTTTAATACGTGGAAATTTACTACCGGTACATGTTATCGATGAATAGTTTTCGTTACTGATAACAATTTTAATTACAATACTTTGTTCATACTTTGACACCAGGTTGAGCTTGTGAAAAAGTACAGAGATGAGTCATAATACATACAAACTGGACTATCAGTTACACAAATCTGCAAAAATATCAGACTTTTAGTTTATCCACCTGGCGTTTTAAAGCTCCGATTATATTTTGATAAGTGCTTCCTTTTTTCACTTGAAAAAATTAGCGGCTTCAGCTAAGTTAACTTTCTCCTTCATTTCTTGTGTTTTCACCAATTTGCGTTTTTAGATGTATTTCGAACTGGACAGTAATTCTGTATTGAAGAAATGATGCACATATTTAAAATCAAGCCAATGTTATTTTAATATTTTAAGTAAACTTTGATGATCCAAGACTTTAAAAAATCCACAAACGATCTTAATCTCTGTCATGATTACAGAGCGGGTGTCTTGAAGTTAAAAACGTATACACAACTGGGTGGAAAACGTCCTTTTTAAAAGCGGTTATAACGAAACGTCAACACTTACCCCGCAACCAAAAGGCTGAACACGATGAGCTTGCGTAGCATTTTCTCTCTCTCTCTCTCTCTTGATGCTGCTGCTGTTTTGATGGACTTGGAGAGCAACCGGACCTTATATTTATACATCTTCGTGCCACTCCTGTACCAGGCACATGTAATTACTAATTTTAAAATCTCCGGTTTATTGCGCCTGTAATCGTGCGGTTATTAGGAACCTTGACTCAAACACGGATGCTCCCAAATTTGTTTGTTTATAATGGCCGGGGCAGAGGCACCCTGAAACTGAGGGGATAGGCGCAGTTTTAGATATGATTGACAGTTACGGTGAAATGGCCTGAAATGGGTATCAAACTTGAGCTAATCTTTGAAAGGTGTTTACTTCCTATTCATCCTGTATTTTGCGTTCACTGAATACTGAGATTATAACTTTGGAAAGAATATGCGACTGTATGCGGAAGGGACCAAAGTCCACGCAAGTGTTTACCTGTGCAAAACTATTGATAATGAACTCCAGTGCGAGCTTGCCTAAGGTTTCGACCCATATTTTTTCCTTAATGAATTCATCAGTTTTATGACTGAGAGGGGCAGCCAACGGGACTCTCCCCTTCTCCGATAGCATGAGAGAATCAGCGTTTGGATAATACTGTTCCTCTTTTGATGAACGCTTTGCTGATGTTTGCACGGTTTTTATTAATAAAACGCAAAGCACTGGATTCAATCTGTAATTTAGCAGAAAACAGATATGAACAGACATGTGGCTGCGAAACATTGTGGTGGACTGTTCCAGGCTCTTAAGCAACCCGTTGAGTTATTTTTGGATATAAACCACAAGACAAGGAAGCAGGACGAAAAAACGGCTGCATGCTAGGCAGATAATGTTGACTGTAAAAATAAGCCTTTCAACTCAATAAACGAGTTTTAAATTAGAGACTTTTAGAATTTAAAAAAAAGTGGAGTAAGATATAACGGTGCAGAAAACCGCAATGGATTACTTTTGTCTTTGTTTGAAGAGACTGCACGAGCGACCGTTACTGTCGTAAATATTCTATTTTCTTTGAAGATAGTTGTTGCTTCTGCAATCTTATATGTTCTTATATACACTAACCCTTTTTAAGCATCCCTTAAAATTGAATCCGAGATGAAAATTTGTGTATAGTTTTAATTTTCAGGATAGGTCAGAAATGGGCTAATTTAAAAGCGAGTAGATTTAGTTGATGATTCATTAAAAAATTAGTGGTTAAACATTTAATAAATTTCTTGGCAGAGGTCTGCGCTTTTGAGTGCTTTTCTAGTATTTTTAATACGCAAGGGCATTAACAAAAACAAGACGAATTACAGCGAATCATTTAATGCGGTGTTTGGTTGATAATTCTGGAATTATCACTGTTTATTGCAGTTTGATATCAAAATCAACACGCAAAAATTAAGACTATGAATGAATTGTGTTAGATGCGACAGACAGTCGAAACATTTAACGCATCATTGCGTTTAGACACCAGAATGTGTTCGATGTGCTGTGTGGAACATTCATTAAACGCATTTGTTTGGCTTCTGGGACGCCATCTCCTGGACTGCCTCTGCGAATTGCTCGAACTGACTAAAGTCCCTAAGACCATACGCCAGGTCAGACCCCTTCCCAGTGATAATCTCGAGTTCGCAGAGGCGAGCATTGTCAATGCCCACAGCAAAAACCTGTACCCCTTCCATTGCTCTTAGTTTATCGGCCTCTTCCGCCAGCTGGCTGCACCTTCTGTTACAACGGCCGTCGGTGATGAAAAAGACGTGAGTGGCAGTGTCCGAGTTGTTAAGGCGGCTGACTCCTTGGCCAAGAACATTGGTCCTAGTGTGACGGAGTGCTTCGGCCGTGGCGGTGGCAGACCCTTGGCGATGACGCAAGGCAATGATTTTACGGTTAAGTTGGTCAACGCCAGCGTGACTCTCGGTGAATGGGATTGCCGTCTCAACCTCGTCTCCGAACAGCACCAAGGCTATCTGTTTCTCTCCGCCCAGGCCACTGCCCATTGTGGTAGGACAGAAGGAGCTGCTTAGAAGAGCCACGCCCTCTTTGGCTTGCTCGAAGGCCGCGCTGGATATGCTGCCTGACGTGTCCAACACAAACACGATGTCGCGGTTTATTTTCCGCTTGGGCTTGATCTCGCGCTTGCTCAAGCTTGCCAAGGGGTCATGGCCAGAGAGAACTGAGGGATTTCCTGGCCTCATTATTGCCATTCTAGGATCCCATGGATATCGGGGTCTGATGGTTGGCAATACAGGTATAGGGTGTGGCCTAGGGTATGGCCAAGGCCGAGGGTTCGGCCGAGGGTTGCTTCCATAGATGCAGGCGTCTGCCCAGCTGGTCGCTACAGCTACAGGTCTGTGGTTTGGTGAAGCGGCAAGGTCCATTCCCAGGGCTCCAGTAAATCTGTTGGCTGCTCCTCTTAGGTCTACTGAGTCTAAAATTATAAATATTATAAATATAAAGAGAGAGAGAGAGAGAGAGAGGGGGTAAGAGAGTAATTGCTTTCTTGTGCAATATACATATATGTAGAAGGCTAAAATATATATTCAAATTAACACGTTTAAAAACAAATAATAAAATACATGCACAAGATGTGTTAAAGGCTATGTCCTTTATTAAGAAGTAAAAAAAAAACGTCTGCAAACAACCTACCAATATTGGTCACTGAGCTTCTGTGTCGAAGTTTGGGCACGCGAGCTACCATTCTAGGGTCGTCATAGTTTAGGGCTTCATCTCTAGGGTCGTCATAGTTTAGGGCTTCATCTCTAGCTTCGTCATAGTGTAGGGAGGCAAAGCCTCTGGAAATGAAAAGTTTTTAATATTACCATGTGTTGTCTATGAGCGAATGTATAAACGAGCATGTGAACCAGTGTTATACATAGAACGCTTTTAAAGATGCTGACATTTAAAAAATTAAAATACATTTTTTATACTTTTACTCTAGACTAGGCTTGCAAAAAAGTACAGAGACGAATCATAATACATACAAACTGGACTATCAGTTACACAAATCTGCAAAATTATCCAACTTTTTAATGCATCCACCTGGCGTGTTAAACTCAGATAATATTGATAAATGCTTGTTCTTTTTTCACTTAGAAAAAACTTCACGGCTTCAGCCAAGTATACTGTCTGCTTCATTTTTTTTTTTTTTGCGTTTTCGCAAATTTGTGTTTTTGAATGAATTTCGAAATAGACAATGCTTTTGTAGGAAGACAAGCGAAGGTAAATAATAATTTAAGAAAACTTTGCTGATTCAGGACTTGAAAATTTTTACAAACGATATAGATCTCTGTCATGATTACAAAGCTGGTTTCTTGAAGTTAAAAACGTGGGGGGGGGGACGCGTACGTCAATTTTAAACGGTTATAACCTAACGTCAACACTTACCCCGCAACCAAAAGGCTGAACACGATGAGCTTGCGTAGCATTTTCTCTCTCTCTCTCTCTTGATGCTGCTGCTGTTTTGACGGACTTAAAGAGCAACCGGACCTTATGTTTACGTGACACTCCTGTGCCAGTCACATGTAATTACTACTTTAAAAATCTCCGGTTTATTGCGCCTGTAATCTTGCGTCTTATACAATATTGGCCAAAAAAAGTTGGCCCGCCCTCAATTCCATGTACTTTTATTTACAAATGATCACGTAGCAGGTATAATAAATAAACAGTGCTTTTTTTATTTTAGACACCATATCTAACATGATTAATGGTTCAGAAAATACAAAATAGCGGTAAAAATATCCACTTTTTATTGAATAGAGAGGCTGACTGTGAGAGCAACCATTTTTGTCGTAAATATTCTAATTTCTTTGCAGATAGCTGTTGCTTGTGCAACCTTATAGGCCTATATGTTTAAAAGTATCCCCTTAATTTATTGACACGGATAAATGCTAGATAAAATTTGTGTATATTTTAAATTTTCAGGATAGGTCAGAAATTTGGCTACTTAACAGTGAGTAGATTTTGGTAATGGTCCATTAAAAATTAGTGGTTAAATGTTAATTAATAAATTGTCTTGGCAGATGTCTGCTCTTTTGAGTGTTTTCGTAGTCTTTTTTAATAATATAAGTAGAGCATCAACGAAAACAAGACGATTTGCTTCAGCAATTCATTTTATTCGGTTTTTGCCTAATAATCCTGATGTTAACACTGTTCGTAGAAGTTTGATATCAAAGTCTATGCGTGGAAATTAAGACTCTTAACTATGAATGAATTGTGTTCGATGCGGCAGATATGCGACACATTTAACACAATATTGCTTTTAGACACCAAAATGTGTTAACTGTGCTATGTGGCACTCTTTAAATGCATCCGTTTGGCTCCTGGGACGCTCTTTCTCTGACTGCCTTTGCGAATTGCTCGAACTGACTAAAGTCACTAAGACCATACGCCAGGTCAGACCCCCTCCCAGTGATAATCTCGAGTTCGCAGGCGCGAGCGTTGTCAATGCCCATAGCAAAAACCTGTACCCCTTCCATTGCTCTCAGTTTATCGGCCTCTTCTGCCAGCTGACTGCACCCTATGTTACAACGGCCGTCGGTGATGACGAAGACGTGAGTGGCAGTGTCCGGGTTGTTAAGGCGGCTGACTCCTTGGCCAAGAACTCTGGTCCTAGTGTGACGCAGTGCCTCGGCCGTGGCGGTGGCGGCCTCGTGGCGATGACGCAAGGCAATGATTTTACGGTTAAGTTGGTCAACGCCAGCGTGACTCTCGGTGAATGGGATTGCCGTCTCAACCTGGCTTCCGAACAGCACCAAGGCTATCTGCTTCTCTCCGCCCAGGCCCCTGCCCATTGTGGTAGGACAGAAGGAGCTGGTTAGAAGAGCCACGCCCTCCTTGGCTTGCTCGAAGGCCGCGTTGGATATGCTGCCTGACGTGTCCAACACAAACACGATATCGCGGTTAGCATGAGGTCCGATGCTGCCTGTCTGGCGCCTGGGCGAGCTTGCCGCAGGACTGCCGCCTGACCCGTACCCCATCCCGCCACCTGGCACGGGCGTTCCAAATCCAAATCCAAATGGAAGTGTTGTAGGCACTGTAGGCTGCGGGTCGCTGTCGTAGATACAGGAGTCTGCAAAGCTGGTACCTGCTACAGCTCTAGGTCCTGAAACCCCAATCCCCCGACCCCCTCCTCCCCCACCTCCACCACCTCCCAACGCTCCCGCAAATTGACTGACAGCGCTGGCTAGTCCCGCTGAGCCTGAAATATGATATATATGTAATATTAATCACTGATTAATATGTAAAGTGATACACACTATGAATAAGCATTCATTTTCATCAGATTGAATGGGTTTATTATTTTTTAGCATCGACCAAAAAATAAATAAATAAATTTAAAAAAAAAATAAAAATAAAGATTAGGCACCACGACGATTCCGTAAAACTACTGACTTAAATCGAAAGTAGGCGGTACGAAAAGCAATCTCCACTGATAAGGTCTATAGAAAGGCCAAATCAACCTACCAATTTGGGTCACCTGCCTTCTATGTCGAAGTTTGGATACTTTTGATACTATTTCATCTCTAGCTTCGTCAAGGTTTAGGGCAGCGAAGCCACTGAAAATGAAAGTTTTTTATCACCATTTGATCGAGAGAATACATAAAAAAAAAAAAACGCGCGCGCTTTGTTGCGCACTATACACGTACTATGTATATAGATAAGTAGATACATGTATGCTAAAATTGCATTAAAATCGGTGCCGTAGCGATAGTCCGAAGGTTCAATAGTCCGAAGGTTCATTGGTCCGAATGTTCACTATAGAACCTTCGGACCAATGAACCCTTGATTAAAAAATCGATGAAAATGTTACCACTTTTCGGACCAATGAACCTTCGGACTATCGAGACGCCCCCGGTGCCACACACCCAATCATGCAAACGAGAGATTTTACACAAGTGGTGAACAAACACTACACTTTCATTTTAGGAAAAAAAAACTACTGGATATGGATATTTTTAAAAATCTAAAGAGATTTTAAAACAAATTTTTTTTGAAATTCGTGATAGATAGTCGTTATATAACTTAAAGTCCTCCGTTTAAAAACATCATGACTTCAAATGTTTGAAAGGCAAATCTTCGAAATTCCAAATTAATCGAGGCTTAATGGATAAGTCTAGGCATTCGTTGTATAAAGTCGTATACGGTAGTGTCTGCTTACGGCGTGATGACATTTTGTGGATAACCCCCCGTTTCAACTTTTTAAAATAACAGTTAAAAAATTTAACGCATGTCGACGAAAATTCTTATAGCATGGACAGACAATATTGTTAATAATGCGAGCACAAAAAAGTAATTTCTCCCCTTGACGTAATATTAATCTTTGCTTAAGGTGCTGGCTAATTTCTGTACAATTAAAACTAAAGATAACTTAAACTTATGGCGGTTAACACCCTATACTGATACCACTTGGCTACAGCAATTGGAACGGACACGTGCATCCATGCATCTTTACGATCATTCTGGATTTAAATGTTTCTTTAAACAGGGATTTTGATTTCCATACCAAAAATAATAATGATATAAATAAAATAAAATGCGCTTTGCGTTAAAAAAATAAAGGAGAGAAAAATTGTTACAAGCGGTTTCTTTAATACAAGCGGGAATGCTGCTCTTTTAAAGACGTGATTCCGTGGACACAACAAACAAACTCCATCACAGAGTACATAGAAACTTACCCCGCGACGAAAACACAGAATACAATTCTACGTAACATTTTCGCTCTCTTGATACAGGTGCTATCATGCCGATCAAAGAAAGCTTCCGCACCTTATATTTATATCTCTACGTGACAGGCCTGTTTTGGTTGCATGCGATAACAGCTAAATCTCCGGGTTATGCTATTGCGTCTTAATCGTGTGTTGAATAAAAATTATAACCAAAACACGTTACAATCTAGGCACAATGTAGCTCTAAATTCACCGGTGTCATTCCGGGATAGGACGGAGAAAAGAGGGGGGGGGGCACAAAATAATTCATCTGTAAAATATCAGTAGCAGTTGTCCTCGAGATTTGGGTTTAACTTCTCATCCAGGGATCGTTTGCTCAGTTATGTAATTAAAAATATTGCCAAGTATTTTTGAATATCGCCTATAACGGACCTGACTTGAAGAGATGTGTGAATATTTAGATGTTTGCATACAGCTGGCTACAAAAATTTCGATCGGTAAGATAATTCATGCTAACTCTAAAAGTGTAACTGTTTTTTTTATTATGTTGGTATTGATGTGAAGCTATGGACTTTGTAAGTTGCGGAAGTTTTCCAAGTGTTTGATCGTCTAACTAAAACAAAGTATAGTGAATTAAAGACTCAATACACAACATACCAGCAACTTCAAAAAGGGGGGTGGGGGTCTGACAAAGTAGAATTTTTTTTATCCTCTTAGTTGACCCAACCTTTGAAATGACATAAAACCTAGACCAAAATGACGGTTCTTTCAACGGGACAGCTCCCCCTCGGGCCAACGGGCATGAAATAGTATAAAAAATATATCAACGCTGCAAAAAAAAAAGAAAAAAAACTAGAGACGAATTGATCCTGGTACCCTACTCGTGTTTATCCTTTTTCTGTCAGAAGTCAACCGCAGAACAAGGAAGAGTGTCTGAGGATTGATGGGGAGACAGAACAAAGGGCGACCTGGAGGCAGACTCGGTGTCCGGGATAGGCAACTAGTCAATAAATAAGTCAAAAACACTACTGTATTAAGATGCAGCCATCCCTTTAAGAAGGGACCCAACGTATGCAGTGAAGGTTAGATCGGTTAACGTTATATTATGACCCGTTCAATTAACAATGAATAACACCCGCAGACGCACATAGGCGCGCACACACAAACACTTACACACACACTCTCTCTCTATCACTCTCTCTCTCTCTCTCTCTCTCTCTCTCTTACTCACACACACACACACACACACACACACACACGCGCGCGCGCGCGCGCGCTTGAACCATGCCACGCAGCTTGTCCGCTCTACAATTTATAGTCGTTCAGCGTCGCATTAATCAGATAATACATGGGGTATTCCGCTTAAGGCTGTCATACTTCAAGGAAACAATACACAGGATTCTATTGTCTCCTAAGTCTTCGTGTATGTAGTTTGTCTCTGTTTACATAATTGACGGCTTACATTAAAACTTCTGGTTCAAAATAACATCATTCACGCAAAGAGCAAATGCAAGGAACGCATGCTAACTTTCATTTCACACCCTACCCCCGAATTTCCGAGTTCCCTGTATATTCACTACGTTATTATCAGCATGCCTCTGCCAGTAAGTTTCCCACTATTCTCTGAAACTCAGGGTACCTTCCATTGTGCTGAAGCCAAATATAAGAATATTTAAAAAATTATTGTATGATGGTCGGTAGGCACAAGAAAATAATTTAGGACGTAACGCTTGGTCTCTTTTAATTCAAATTTGCTATTTTTATTTTGTCTAGGGATACCGTTCATACTCAAAATTATCGTTAATTGGAGAATTATAGGGTCAGATAATATACATTTAAATTCGCTATTTATATTTCGTCTACGGATACCATTCATTCTCAAAATTATCGTTTATTGGAAAATAATAGGGTGAAATAATGTACATCCTGCATCTATGAATAACAAGTTTATTTTAAAAGGTTAATTACGTCCTGTATTTTGCTCATCAGTCAAATATCGTCATCCAAGTCCACTCATCTCAAAAGTCTGACCTTGTGTTGATTTAAAGTGTATGTCGGGTGTAAACAGTCTCGGTTAGGAAAACAAGGACACAGACAGTTGCTTTTCTCTGATAAACCCACTTACTCATTACCCTGTACCAGGGCCGCACAATTTTGGGCATTTTTGCTGACAGTTCAGAGATTCAGAGTTCAGAGATTAGCCATCAATGTAACCAGAGACATACCTGTTAGTATTTAGTGAAAAATCAATCTGTGGCCCTGGTAGAGGGCACTTAGTCATATTCACACAAACCAAGCTCTCATTGGCCCCGTTCAGAATAGGGGCCTAACTAGTCCGAGGGTCAAATATGGCGACCCACTACACAGCTTGCCGTCTAATCTGCGAACAGACATTAAAGGGTTTGCTTCATGCCGTCAGAATGGCCTGAACGGAACATATTCTTCAGAAAACATGCCCAACTAACGATATCTTTATCCAAATACACAAATTAAAAGCTCATTTTGTAAATTTTTGGCTTTAAAAAACGTCTTATTTGCTCGGCCTGGGAGTTAATGAGCTACGAGGTCACGTGGTCCAATGACGACAATCGAGCCNTAAGTTTGCCAACTGATGACAGTTAATCTGAAAGACTACCAGCTCTTGATATGATCTAAACCACCTGAGGTGACCATGATCTAGAGCATCGCAACTATTGTCACCGAAGTTAGTAAGTAAGTCACGGAAGACCGTCACAGACAAAGAAAGATTGTCAACGAGAGCTGCAATTTTGGTGAATCCCACGGCAACACACCGAGGCATAACGAAAATTCCTCAACTCCGTTCAACACAACTTTCCTTAACTTCTCCGTCTGTATGCACCTGCAGCTCAGTTGAGTCTCATAGACCTTTATCGTGATTGTCGTCACAGTACCACGTGACCCAGATCTGTTGCTTCATTTTTGCATATTGAGGTGAGGTTTACTAAAACGCTTTTTTTCTACTAATAGATTGTTTTTATAATTTTTAAATGGCGGGGATCGATTAAAACATACCTCTAGTGTATAGATTGAGTGCTGTATCTTCAAAATTCGAGAAATGGATTTTTACATGAACATTGTCCTTTAAATAGATATCCCGTGGAGAAGTATTCAAGTGGGTCGGCCATATTTGACCCTTGGACTAGTTAGTCCCCTATTCTAAATGAGGCCATTGTGACAGTTGCGCTCTCTGATATTCAGTTGCCAGCCTTGCCCCACATTAATGGTTGAAATAATAAAACATGGCCCAGTAGGCTTAAGCGTGTGACTTTTCTTCCTTTTTGGGAAACGTGTGTGTGTGGAAAAGATGACAATTTGTTTTGGATAAGGACATTTATCTATCGATAAAAATTAGTGTAAACAGCTCAGATGACACCATTTAACAAGAGAAGACGTTCTATAAACAAGATTCTGATAACATTCTTTAGCTATATAGAAAAAAAAAACAAATACCGTGTGGTGACATAGATATCGTGATCTGTGTATGAAGAATGCTAGTGTTGTGGGGGAGTTGTTTTTTAACTTAATTTCTATGTAAAAATAAACATTTACAAATTTAATTCAAATTGAACTGTGGTTGCCATCTTTTTTGACAAAAAGGAAAATTGAAGTGTCCGTAAAGTCAGCTATTTTTTCTCTGTAATATGTTTCATGTTCCAATACATACATGTAGATCACCCCATGCACTTTAATTCCAGTACTCTTAACTTTATTTACTGTTAAAACGCTTAAAACCTTCTGATTTACCTCTTAGTGTTTTAATGCAACTAAAAACCGTACAGGAAAAATATGATGAGGGTATTACCGGACGGCCCGCAATATTATTTGGGAAGATTGAATCCGTTATTTTGTTTTGGGGTGTTACCCTGGTAACCCCACCCCTCTCCCGCCCCACCCTTTCCGCCTTCTCCGGATTCCGCTTATTTCATAAAGCTAGGATCCAATAGATCTTGGATCCTAGCATAAAGTTTACAATGAAAATCCGTGTTTAGAAAATATGGTTGAATCCCATTTTGTGTACATTCTAGGTTAGCCGGTAAAACCGACATGTGGAATGGGTCCCACGTGTAAGCAGGTGCCACAAACGTGATGGGGACATTATAAGCTGTACAGATATAGAAACCTTAAGCTTCTTGTGACAAAGTCTCTTACTACAGGGAACGTTTAGATAAAGCCATCGTGCTAGCTGGATCGATCCAACTCTGTAGGAAATTCTCTCAAGCGCAATCACTGTAATTTTCTTAAATGTCTGAGTTACTGGGGGGTAATTGACTAATTACTTAGCTACTCAAAGAGGTTTGTAAGACGAAAACTAATTACACTGAATGCACTTTAGCGAGAATCCCCGGCACACTTGGATCGATCCAGCTGGTGTAATATCTGAATCTGAATGCGGTCTTAAATACTCCACCACCAATTTCACCAGGTTGAAGGCACAGTTTGGGCACACAATTCGAGTTTCAGACATATGTTATACAGCTCAATTCTAGCACGGCTCAAGATGTTTTGTGTAATTTGTATCGTTTACTTTGTGGTCAGGTAAGTCTTAGATCTTAGATGCTCCTGAACTTTTTTGATCGGTTATAATTTGTTCATATTATTTGGGGCGAAACACGCCAAATTTCCAAATAAAGTAAGAAATTAAGTGATTACAGCTGACAGATTTTCATTCAAAGAATAATTAAAGATTTTCGTTCAAAGAATAACTTCTTATAAGGCCTTTACCACAAAATCAATTTCACTATTATAATGATAATTGGTAACGCCTTTTTTAACGCGATCTTAAATTTGCGGAAGAACATTAGCACAGGATTTAAAATTCTTAAACTGACAACTGTTTGTGGATTTCTATTTAAACGTGATTCAGTTATTAGCCAAGTTGTACTGCGCGGATCTGGATACTTGTACAGATGAAAGTAAATAAAGGCAAGTTGCCTTTTTGTTTTCAGCGTTTTTGCCCTAGAAAATGACGACGTCTTGAGAGATCGTTTGATGGAGAACGTGTCCAGAGCAAGGAGAGTAGTATGTAACACAGGTATGACAGTGTGTGTGTGTGTGTGTGTGTGTGTGTGTGTGTGTGTGAGAGAGAGAGAGAGAGAGACAGAGAGAGAGAGAGAGAGAGAGAGAGAGAGAGAATAGAGATTGAGCTCTAGCGTCTAAATGCGCCTGTTTTTAGCTGTAGTTGAATATATGCCTAAGTTTGTTTGGCAGGTAGGGAAAGGTAGCCAAAGTAGCCGTTCATCTACAGGTATGTGTGCGTGCATGTGGAATTTTCTTCTGAAATTCGTAAAAAAAAAATTAGATTAAGTATATGAAAGTATTAGCAGATCATGGACAGTGTCTTAATTGCTGCCGTGTTTTGTTTCCAGCAACCTTGCCAGGAGGAGTGAACGCTGCCGCCAGCAAGTTTGCCGCAGTCCTTGGCAAACGGCAGGTGGGCTGCGTCGGCACGACCGGCACAGGCACGTCTGCAGGGTCCAGTTGGGCAGACTCCTGCGTCTACGGTAGCGGTGGCGGTATTATCAAACCTATATACCCGGGCATCCCCACAAACCCGCTGATCCCAAACAGCATGACCAACTCATTCACCGGCATACTGGGAAAGAGGGGTGCCGATCCTTCGCCTTTTAAAAATAAGCCAAAACGCGACTATGTTTTTGTCCTTGACACCTCAGGCAGCGTCTCTATGGATTCTTTTGAACGGGCAAAAGAGGGCGTGGCCATCCTGACCAAGTCATTTTGTCCTGTCACAATGGGAAACGGCATGGAGGAGAAGCAGGTGGCCGTCGTCTTGTTCGGCAATACTGTCGAGACGGCCATTCCGTTCTCCACGAGCCACGATGGCACGGACGCGTTGAACAGCAAGATCATCGCGCTGAACCACCGCAGGGGTTCTGCCACAGCCACAGCGGAAGCCTTGAGACACGTGCGTCAGCGCGTTCTTAGCCAACCAGGGAGCAGGTTGAACGACACGGACGCCTCAACCCACGTGATTGTCATCACGGACGGTCGGTGTAACCGCGGCTGCCAGTCTCTGGCTGATGAGGCTGACAAGCTGAGAAAGATGGGACCAAACGGCGTCCAACTCTTCGCCCTCGGCGTCGACAACGCACGTGCGTGCGAGCTGGAGATCATCACAGGGAAAGGCTCGGACATGGCCTTCGGCCTGAACGACTTCACGGAGTTTGAGAAGTTTGCTACCGCCGTGCGTGACGAGGCCGAGAATCAGAACAGTGGCTGCATCTAGGCTACCGGGGTCTTAGAAAGATGCATCGATCATTTTTGCACAGATCTGTTAGACTGAAAATTGGCTAGCATTATATCACTGTATGAATATTTTTGAGAAAAACCTGCGGTTCTACATAAATAGGATGATAAAAAAAGGCAATATTCGCTTGTCTATATGGATTGATTTATTCGCTGACTCTCTCTCTCTCTCTCTCTCTCTCTCTCTCTCTCTCTCTCTCTCTCTCTCTCTCACACACACACACTCACACACACTAATAATAAAAATAATAATAATAATAATAATAATAATAATAATAATAATAATAATAATGTAAATGAAAGTAATTATTTGACTATCATCGATGAAAATGTGCTTTTAAGAGACTGCAGTTCACCGAGAGTGTAGCAGAGTCTTAGACTGAGTTCCCATACTTAGATCGATCCATCTGGATCGACCTTACTCCCTGGGGGTTCACGCTAAATGGCTATAAGCTCAAGAGACTTAACTTTCTGTCACGCGTACCGAATCAGCTAGGGTAAAGATAATTTACCCCCTAACAGTTTTACTAGGCGTGACAGACATTTAAGCCGGTAGATAGATAGATCCAAAAATCTGTGGGAATGGTCTCTAATAGGGAAATATTACTGTGAGCTTCACTATACACTTTTATATTTCATTCCAAATCCCAACATAACAACAGTAAGTTCCACTGAATGAAAGGGGTTTTAAATGTTTTGTAAAAACTCCCTGGCCTGGGAAGACACGTGGCGGTAGTCTTCAGGTCTCTCGTGGCTCGTCTTCCGGCTCCAGACAGTTCTATATAGAAACCGCCGACTTGGATATTTAGTGATTATTATTTAGCAGAAAACGCTGTATGCACATGAATTTCCGAAGTCAGAGGCGGATTGAACAATATAGAAATATTTTGGAAGGTATCAGCTTGAGCACATGTTATTGCAAATTGTGCAAATGATTCCAAAACAGACGAGTGGCAACCAGTAGAGTCTACGCAGGTACCCGGCCGGCGAGGTAAGGCCGAAAACTGATTGAGGCAAGCTGGTTGTGTTTAATGAAACTGTGCAAATTGTTACTTGTGAATTTGCAGCGTTTGTCTAGCGGGTTGATATTTAAAACTAATAAGTTTGGCCATTGATGTTGTTGCTGTACGCAAATGTTGTATAGATAATCTTCAAGATTTTGATAAGGGAGTGGTATCTGCGAGTGGTTTTCTATTCCAGCGCCCCCCCCCCCTTACACACGCGCACACACACACGTGGGATCATACTGATTTTCTGTCGTGTTTTTTTTTACAGGTTACTATGTAAACATTAAAAAACGTAACAAAAACAGAATAAAAAAACCATGGCAGCCTCGGTATCACTGGACCTTGGAAAATTAGTGTCTATCACACAGACCCTGGAGAACATCTTCTACCAGTCCTTTGGTCCCAATGCCCTGCTGACCACAGTGCTGCCATCTACTGGGAAAGTGATGGTGACCAGTGATGGGGCCAGTATACTGACCTCCCTACAGCTGGACCACCCTGTGGCCCGTATGGTGTGTAGCAGTGCCCTAGCACACCATTGTTTCACTGGGGATGGCACTAAGACATTTATCTTCATGGTGGCTGAGGCCCTCAGGTCAACCCTGAGGAGGGCAAAGAAAGTAAAGAATGGTTGTAGTGGTAGCGAGAAACCTCATATTAGTCAGTTTGTAATAGAAGTGACTCAGGCTCTTGGATACATAGTATCAGACATCTTACCAAACTATGTATTTCCTCAGTTAGAAAGGTATGCCACTGCCACTAAATTAACAGGAGACATGACAGAGACAACACACGAAATGACATTAAAAGTTCTGCAGACCTCTATGTTGGGAAAAGCTCCTCTTGAAGTGTCATCACATTTTAGCCACCTTTTGAGTAAATTCATATCTTCCATAGGAAATTCACATAATGTTCTAGACAAAGTACTGTACCTCATTGACAATTTCCCGACAGTCACCATGGAAATATCCAATGACAATTACTCATACTCACAAATCATCCCAGGTGTCCTACTTCCAAAGAAATCTGTTACTCTCATTGACTCTCTCCTTCAAACCTCAAATATTAAGTTTATTTTGCTAGAGTGCTCTCTTGAAGGAGATCAGGATGAGCAGACTGACCTGCCCCCTGGTGTGCTTCAAGTTTCGGGATACCATGGTTTTCAGCAGGCATTGCAATGGAAAGAGCAGACAGTGAGGAGGATTCTTCAACACTATGCCAACTCAGGAGTTCAGTTGATCATTACTTCATGGGCTGTCTCGGAGCTGGTGATGTCCATCTGCCGCGCGGTTGGAATGGCTGCCATCGGAGCTATACCCCTGGAGGATATGGAAAGACTAGCAGCAGCAGCTGATGTGATCATGGTTCATGAAACACATTATGTCTTGTCAGAGGAAAATATAGCAACGATCAAAAGTTTAAAAGATGTTGTCTGTGGGGGCCAGAATTTCATGCAGTTGGAATTAAAGACGGTGTCTGCAGTAGCGTGCGCTGACACTCTTGTTATATGTGGCCCCACACCTGGTCTAAGCAGACAGTATTCTAACATGGTGCTAAATGGGTTGAAATGTCTACGCATGTGGCTGCAACCACTCAACTTTTCTCACACAGCTGAAGAGAATATGAACAGAAAGAGAAAGTATGATTGCACAAGTGAGGATCAATTAGATTCAACAGAGGCGTTGGTGCAGAATGCGGCAGTTGAACATTTGCACAAAAAGTTTAAAGGAATGCAACTGGCGTGTGACCACAAACAGCTTAGTGATCCAGACTTACCTGATGTTCTCTCAGATTCAAGTTTGTTGGAAACTAAATTAGCTTCTTTTGGCTCAGCTAAGCACCACCTAGCTGCCCTGTCCATGCCACCAGGTGGCAGCATAGAGTTTATCATACACAGCAGCTTGGAAAATGCCAAGTGTTGCTATTCAGATCCAGGTATTCAGACTGCTTGTCAAATAATCCAAGATGCAGTGCTCTCTGTCCCACAGAAGATCCATGAGAATTCTTATCTTTCGGCCTCAGGTAGACATGCCTTCATTCAAGCTAAGTTGGAAGCCCTGGATAAGGTATCCGTGGGTAAGATACCTTGTATTCACTACCAGACTGGAGCTGTGTGGACAGACAGTGAAGGCTGTGAGCCAGTGGCCAGTAAGATGGTGCTTCTCTGTCATGTCATCGAGCTGCTCCAACAGCTCTTAAGACTGGATGCCATTGTTTCTGTTAAATTGTGAAACAACAGGCCCTTAGGCAGGCAGTGGAGGGGTTGAAAGAACTGCCCTTTTTGTCAGGAAAAGGTCGGTTCTTCGTAAATTTACTAAATTTTGATCTAGGTACACAAAGGTTTCATTGCCAAAGGCCCACTTTTTCTGAAAAAAAAACCCTTTTGAATTCCTGGCTACAGGCCTGAACAATATGTGTCTTTTTAATTTCTTCTTTGGGGAAGGCTTGATGGTGATGACACACATGTTTAAGAGATGAACATTAACTCACACAACGATCCAAAATGAATTAGATGAAGCCACCATATTCCTGACTGTTACATTGCAAAATAAACCATACGTTCCACATCTGGTGGAAACCTTGAGAGAGCTCAGAAAGAAGGAAAAAAAATGAAATAACATTTTGTTCGGTACATTTTATTTATGCAGTGCTAGTTACACTTTTTCCAGGAAAAATAAATAACTCATTTATGTACATTCTAAAACGAGTTCCTGTCCATAACAATGTATTAACTTAAAGACAGTACGTTACATTTTTGATGTAGAAATAAATAATGTATTCTGAAAATAGTCACTCATAACTGTACACATTCACTTAAACAAAAACAAACAAAACTTACTGACCACCTATAAGGTAATTTTTTATAATTCTTACCAGCATCTGAGTACACATTCTTTGTCTGGAATACATTTAATGGACTATGCTCTTTAAAACAACAGGCGTGTCACTGTGATACACCATACAAGTATCAATCCCATTTTAAACTCAAAAACAAGTAACTAATTACCAAACAACATCACCCACACATGTAACAGTAAACAACCATGTGTATTTTAATAACTGTCTATTAAAATAGTCTACTCAGGCCCGTAGCCAGGGGAGGGTTGAGGGGGGGTTAGAAAGAACCACCCTTTTTGCTGGGAAAAGGTCCACTTTGGGTAAAATTTGATATATGCACTTGAGGATTTTCTGGTAAAAGTTCCACTTTTTCAGAAATGAATCCCCCCTCTGAAATTGCTGGCTACGGGCCTGCTACTGATGCCAAACTTTTGCGTTGATTTATGTTGCCTCAAACTTTGCTTTTCTGTGCATCCTTCACTAGCTGCCTGTTTAATTGCTGCAGTTGTTTTATGGATAATATCTTTGCACAAGTCAGTCTTGACGTAAAGCATCTTTTGATATGGTCATATAACATAGTCTTGAAATGAACAAACTAACATACCTTTTATAATAACATATGCCAAACTACAAAGTGTGCATCTTGTACACTGCTCCCAAACTCTGATGGGAAAAGTACCTGTGACTCTTATTGTAACTCTACCTTATTATATTTGCTCGTAGGCTGAATTAAAACTGGTCTAACTTTAACCCAAAATAGACTAATGTCAAGAGAATGTCTCACATGAATTTTAACTTCTTAGGTACAATGGCAGTCAAAATCTGATTAACTTGTTTGCTGATGTCACTAAGGTCCATCATGGATCAAGTTGGAGCCACTGTGAACACGTCTAGATTTTGTTGCTAATTGGTCCCTTTTTTTACCTCTACTATAATAATGTCTTAATGTCCCTGAACATGAAACTGTCAGTAATTTATTTTTATAACATACTTAACTTGCATATCAGCAAAAAAACTTATTTGAAGAAAAAAATATATATAATGGCCTTTTGCCATAAAAGATCTTAAATTTGTCACTGTGATTATGAGAAAATATGTAAATGATTTTGACATGCATCTAGCAATTATTTGGCTTTGCAATTACTTATTAAATTTTAATTCCCAAAAACAACCTTTTGTTAATCATACTAAAAAAGAATGAAGAACTGGGAAAGAACATTACATGCAAGTAACTAAATAATATGAATCTTCAAAGTATCAAAAAAGAAAAAAAAATTGAGGCAATTATGAAAGTACATAAATATCTCATGTCATAATTCATCTTTTTACTTAAGAAAAGGCAGGTACTAGGGCACCAATATTAATTACAGATAATTTTATGATTATGTTGATCATCTATTTTCATATTCTAATTTCATATTATTCACTTTCAGTCAGACATCAGAAAAATTCTGAATTCAGCATCATTGTACATTCATGAGCAAAATATTTTATAACACTTCTTTTTCTAGATAAAATTAATTTCATTCACACATAACAAAGTCATGGCAAATTTATATCTCACTTGTAAACTAGCTTAATCGATAAATTTGCTTAAATCCTTCAAAGGAAGGGTTCAGGAAGTAATGAAGCAAATCCTTTTTAATGTCATGGCAGCAAAGAGATCAGACAAACAAACTTAATATCTCTTATGTTGTAGTGCTGCTTTTTTTCTGTCTGCTATTAGGCCTAAAAACTGTTGCATATTACAATTCAAATGATTAGACAGTGGTTAAACTCCATAATCACAGTCAGGGCTTTTCCTAGGATTGGGGGTGCAGGCCGTCAAAAATTACCATCTGTAATTTCCTACAAAATTTCAGGGAGTCCAAGTATGCCTAAAGCTGTCATATTTCCAACAAATCCATAAGCTGTCCAGCCATCTTTGAAAACATAGGCCATCTGGTGATTCTGGCGGCCGTCCAAATGACAGCTGGATGGTTTGCTGGGAAAACCATTCCCCACAGCAGAAGATGGGACATATCTCAATTGTGGTTAAATTTTTAACTAAAATACAACATGAATTATCCATGTTCTAATATCAACCAAGCACAGAAACTATAAATCTTCATACCCAAGACATAGTCAGTTCAATATCACACAATAAACCAGCAACACAGGTGATACAATTCATCAGAAAAAAATGTTAAAACAGTTCCTTGTGACTTAAAAGACCAAATATCTTTTTTATTTTATTATCTTAAGACCATGAACAAGCTTTTTTCATGGGAGAATTGTTGTTTCTTTGAATATTCCCACTGCCATTTGACACACTTAATATAGTGGCTCTCCATCCTAAAGCCTGAAACCTATTTCATTTCTTTTTCTTGTCACTCTGACACACCCTAAAACACAAAAATAGTTCATCTAAAACAGAAGATCCTGTTCATCCTCCAGATAGGCCCTCATAGCTTTCTGACACTCAGGGCTGGACCAGCGTTCCTGCAGCATGTTACACTCACTCTCATTGGTGTATTCTAGTTTAGCACGGCGGTGGCTGTGGATCAAAAGTTTCGAAGCTTCCAAAGCCTGGAAATATTCGTAACAGTTATACAATGGATGTTTTCAGAAAATCTGAAAATGTTATTCAAATTCAAATCATTCATCTTGTTAAATTAACAGTGTGATCTTTGATGGTTATGGTGTTCATAAAATAAACTCCTCACTATAATTTTCATTCACAACTAAAAGGGAAGAATTTGGTGACCATGTTAATATCCCAAAATACAATATCTACTGGTCCTTGTTTAGCCAACTTAGAATCTGAGTCAACTATATCGGGTTACACACAGATAAAAGTTTCAAAACAGCCCAAATTATTTATATAGCCAACTATGTAAGTGTAGCTGTCTAAACTAAATTTTCAAAAACCTAAATCCTTTTCTTAATAGAGCATAGGTCCTAGTACAAAGTGTGCCTCAAGTTTGGTACCTTTGCTGAATATGTTGCCATGTTCTCCACCCTGGGGATCACCTCCTGCATCATGGAAGTGGGCCAGAATACCTGGGACACAAGACCTATCTGGTACGCCTCAATGGCAGTCAGTTTACGCCCAGCGAGAAGAAGCTCATTGGCCTGAAATAACACAGATATTAGTAATAAGCTTTATTAAAGAGTAAATGGAAATATTACTCCTCCCCCCCCCTTTCCCCGGATAAGTCCCTAAGAGAAGAGATCCTGTGCATTTCAAGAATTTTCCAACCCAGAAACAGCAGTTTAGAGAATCTTCTATGCAACTTTCTGGCATGCCTTGAATACAGTAATGGTTTCAAATGCTCCTTTAAATACTACAAAATTCTGTAATATTAAAACTATCCTTAGTAGCAGAAATTAATTGCTGCATAGCACAAACTTTCAACAATCAGCATTTATCTTATTACGTAACTCTCTTTTCACTGCCCCTAAGTTGTTTCATACAGTTTAGGGCAATATAATAAATCCAGTATGTTTGAATTAAGAAAGTACCTAGTAGTTCTCAACAGCCCTTTATGAAGTTACACCTTAGCTTCCAGCATCCACCCTTTTAACTTACCATAGCCGTTCCCATCACATTGGGAAAAGTGAAGGAAGAGCAACCCTCAGGTGTTTGAGCAAGGCGGCCATATGGGGCATAGAAGGAGGCTTTGTCGCTGGCATATACTATATCACACAGTGGCAGGATGGCCATACCCAGTCCTACTGCTGGGCCATTCACTGCCGCCACTATGGGTTTAGGGAAGGCAACCATTGCATTGATAAACTCCCTGAATTGAAAAGATAAAGAAATGTTTCGATTTAATATTCTTGGATTATGCTTTCAAATACAAACATATTTCATCATAAATCAATTCTATACTTTACTGGCACAAAAAGAGAAAAAAAAAATCAACATAACCCTAATAACGTTCTATTATTAGATCACATTTATTAATGATAAATCTTTGAATGCTGAGCAAACCTCTTGCACACTGCACCTAAACATATTAAACATACTCAAAGTAAACATATTAAACATACTACAAGCTAACAAGTTGTGCACTGGCTCAGATACAAGTCTCTGGGGCAGTTGCAGAGATATTTTCTGAGTCTTCCAAATTATCTTTGTTGATCCATTATCCATATTTAACTGTCTTCTGACAAAAAAAAGATGCCCATCAATGTAACTTGAAAAATTCTGACCGTCTTCCAGAAGACCCAGAAGACAGCCTCCATCCGCCCCTGATTATTTCCGCTCCACGTCAATGTTTCATTTATTTACCTTATGGCTTCTGCCATTTTCCTAGCACTGATTCTTTTATCATTGGTCAGAAGATAGGGTAGGTCTACGCCAGAGGAGAAAATGTTTCCAGACCCACTCAGCATGACCAGGCCACTGTCATCAAACTTGGCATTGTACAAAGCCTGTTTGAGTTCTTCAAATACCTGCAATGACCTCATATGTTTTTATTCAGTCTTGCAACAAAAAAAAAAAAAAAAAAAAAAAACTAAAAAGCTTCAGATTATCAAATATAAAAACCTAGTGTCATAAATCAATAATGGATTCTTTTGCTAACTATACACAAGAGCATTGACACCTGAGATAAAACATTTATCAGGATCAAAGTACAATAACATAATCATAAAAATATACAGGACGTAATAAAGTACCTGAGGATTAAGAGCATTTCTTGCTGGAGTGTTCGTGAAAAGCCAGATCTGTGTGTAACCTGAGCACTTTTTCACAACTATTTCCTTATATTTGTATGCGCACTCGCTTTGCCGCACGCTGAGACGACGCACATCTCCCACCCCTTCTTCTGAGTCTGAATCACTGTCCGAGTCCACACACCTCTTTTTAAGACTCCTATTATTGGAGAACTTCTTTGGAAGTGAGGCAAGAAAAGCCTTGTAGGACGCAGTCGAGGGGCTACTGGAGAACACTGGGATAACTGGGATCTTGGGGAAGTCTGACAAAAAGTGATGGGTCTGAGCGGAGCCTGGACTCACAGGCCGGAAACTGGTAGGTGTATTTGATCTTGACCTTGCTATCCTTGGAGACGTTGGAGGTGTTCTATACAAGCTGGCCCCACTACCAGGATGTATAGGAGTAGGCAGGCGGGGTGTGAGACGTCCTGATCCCTGAGGTGGTGTCCCATATGGTGTGATGGGTTCTAAAATTACAGAAAACATTCTGAATGCCAAATTTCATCCATTGTTCTTTATTATGCTATACAAAATGAAATAAAGTTCAGCATTCAATATTACATATATATTTTAATAAACAATTCTTATACACATTTTCCTGCCATTATGTGGTTACAATTAAAAGTGAAAATGTAAGCTGCCAACTCAGACTATCACTGCTGAGAAAATTGTTTCCTGGAAACTTTCATTTCTGCCAATTCTGCACATAAAGTACCATTTCTACTCAATTTCGACTGTAGAATCAGTTGCCCTTTCTTTCAGCTGTAATGCTATTCTAGACATACAACACATTAATCTTCTAATTTGTCTTTGGTTAAAATCAAAGTTTTTTTTTTTATTCTAAATGATATAGCAAAAACTACACAAAAGCCTTTCAATAACTCGTTTCAGTAACTCGTGTTGGTGTCCTTGCTTGACACGTTGATAATATAAGTACGCGAATCCACATGTGCAAACACACACACACACACACACGTTACCAATACCTTGCTTAATTCCGTTCTTCCCTCGCCAACTGTCCAGAAGAGAAATCCTCCTCTTTGGTGACCCACTTGACACACTGGATGTGCTCTTGAATGAGATCTCAGGGTCAATTACCATGTGATCAGCTATAGTACCAGTCTGACCAATCACAGGCTTGCTCTCATGCCCTGCCTCCCCATCTTCAAGCTTTAGTTTTTTGCAAACTCTGCCATTCAAGATGCTTTTTCCAGAACGCAGAACCTTCTCTGGAGATTTTTTGGCATATTTGGCACTCTTATTTATAATGTCATAAATTCTTTGCTCTTCACTCTTTGGTTCATAGGCTGTCTTTTTGGCCTTCTCCATTTGCTGCTTAAGAGAGGCACTTGACGTATTTGTCTTTTTCCCATTCTTGGAACCTTTCTTTTGGTTCCCACTTTTAGCCTCCATTTTTGACTTGAGATCTACACTGAGAGAGTACCTCACGGAGTCATCATCACTGTCAGAATCAAATGTGTTGTTCACTGTCCTAGACTTCTTCTTGCCATGTGAAGAATGCCCCTTGGCCTTGTCTGGTACCTTGGCCCCAGTTTTCTTTGAGGAATTGCCCTGGGATGCCTTATTTTTCACTTTTAAGTAATCATTTTTTATCATAATTTTACAGGTGTTAGAAAGTTTTTTACCACCAGATTTCATTCCACTTTCAGAGTGTTTCACGCCATGTAACGGCTGTTTTTTTCTCTTGGTGTCAGACTGAGCTTTCTGTTGTATGAGAGCAGCAGCCATTCTGTCGTTATATGCCTCGACTCTGTCCATGCAATTACCAAGGTTTGACACTGGCTCCCAAGTATCCCAGCTACTGTCGAAGCCTTTCCAACTCACCAAGTACTCGATCCTGCCTTTGCTGGTCGTCCTACGAGCTAGAATCTGTTCTACCTGTAAAATATAACATTGCTAGTAAAGAACATATCCAAAATCTGTATCAAGTAAAATATAACATTACAAGTGAATTTCACATCAAAGCTCTGCATCTAGTACAGTATACTTCTTTTGCTGTTCGTCCTGGAAACCGAAAATTATTCTACATATAAAATATACCTAAATTTAGAGTATGTAATGCATTTTATCCTGTTGGATCAATTTATCAGATGTCTTTGATCCTTTACTTCATTATATATATATATGCCAAGCGTAGGTCTGGCATTTCTGTGAATCATTCGCAGTAGGATGTGTCATGGCCAATTATGTCTTGTGTAACTGGGAATTTGCCTAATCAGGCCTCATAAGTGATAATTGTCATTAATTTGGATTTGTGCTCCCAAATCTGAGGCTTGAGTTAGCAAATGCCTAGTTGGTATATAAGGCCTAATAATTCTGCCTAATGAAATATACTACATAGCTATTAAACAAATGTAAGCTTTAAGTTTTGCCTGAGGTTGCTCCCTTATAAAAAATTAGCCAAATGCTAACCATATTCTGATTTACTTAGGTTAAAGAATATGCAAAACATTTTCCATTTTAATTGATTTACTTCAGTTTTTCAATGTGAACAAAATCATCAAGAAGTTTGATTATCCTTCACTGATTACAGACTGTTTTGATGGTAGTCATACCAGCTAGGATACATTCTAAAAATAAAGTATCATAGCGCAGGGTGAACTTTTGCTTCAAGTACACTCACAGCACAAGACTGCATCACTCAAATTTGAAGCACAATACAAACAAACTACCCATAATATTCTGGACAGTAAATAAAAAATGTTACAAAAGAATACAACTGACCAATTTCCCCACAATTTCACCTAGTATATTTAAAATAGTAATGCTGCCTATTTATTTATCTGACAGTAAATCAAATTTAACCTTTTGTAATATCAAATTGCAATTACTACATCACGTTTAAAAATGCTTTTCAATCAATACTGTTTTAAACATATTTTTCTTTTGAAGTTAAGTGAACAGTGTTAGTCAAAATAAAAATAATAAAATCTATCAGGAGAAAGAAACATTTCAATGTTTTGTACATAAAAATATCAAGTCAAATAATATCACAATTCACAATAAGATTTCCTTACACTCGTAGAAATAGGTAGTAAAGAAGAATAAGAAATAATAATAATTGATCCACACAAAAATCATGAAATTATTGATGAGATGAACAAGTGCCTTCACGGTTCAAAAATTCTGTTTCTTGCCTAATTCCCTACCCCATTTCTCATTAATCAAACATCTTTAAAACATTTACAAAATGGCTATTTAAGATTAAAATTAATCATCCTGAAAAATAGATAGCATACCACCTGAATTTCGAAAGATATAATTTTCAAAAGATATTTATAATCATAAGGCCCTGGGCAAATGTATACAAGATCTTTCTACTTCATTATTGTCTTATAATGATGGACAAAAAGTGTACACAGGCAAATCATCAATGCCAGACTGCATGGCTGTATATAACTTATATAGCATTTGATCAATTTAATTTTCCAATGTTCCCAGTGGTCATTATTTTTTTCTCTCTTCCTTTGACTACTATTGGCAAGAGTCTATCTATAAAACAACACAGGAGAAAAAGAAAGATTACTATCAAAGAAAAAACAAATACAAAAAAGAAAAAATGGTAATCTACATGCATTAAATTTTTTTTTCAAGATTTTCTAGTTTTCTGATGTGAAATACTAGTTCTAGGTTTGAAAATGTGGAAATGTTTTGTGAGGATGCCATATTATTCTAACACTTGGATTACAAATATAACTCAACTGTCTATCCCTTTCCATATGCTTCAGTTTTTTAATAGAACTTATTCCCCATACACATAGAAGTGCGTGATCATGCTATTCATATTGTACATGCTTGAATTTCTGTTTTATTATACATGTACACTGTTCCCTGGCAAAATTTGAGAAATATGTCAAAAAAATTTATTTTGTAACCCAAGCATTAAAACAGAATGTGGCTCAAGCAGCATGTCCAGTCTTACCCTGGCTTCACACTGCTATTCCTGTAAAACAAAGAAATTGAGATGAAATAGCAAATTACCCCCACAAGCTGACACAAGTATTTGACATGAAACAAAATGCCCTGATACTTTTGCTTTCAACAAAACATGTACCAGTATGTTGTTATTTTGAGCTGTGAAAAGTAATTTAAAAAATTAGCTTAAACAGGAATGCTCAGAAAATATTCATCTCTTTGGAATTTATAGGTGATTTTTGCCTTTGCACTGGAATTTTCATATGAACATGCGCTACGTGCAAACATTTTATCGACTTTATCATGCCGAGCAGCAATCTAAACAGATGAATCACACAACGTCCTTTAATTCTTTGAAGCCTTTCAACAGAACACTTTTCTCTTTTAAATATAATTGTTTGCATGTCATATACACAACAAAAATCATAATGACCATTTATATGTGAGTGTGTAATAACTAAAATGTATTTGCAAAAGCGCTAAAACGAAATTTTCTTGGACAAGCGTATGCGCACGTAAATATCGCACATTATCAGCCATAATGGGTATTTACAAAGTAAAAAAAACTTATAAAATATTAATCTCTACACCAATATATATTTCAATAATTACTCATAACGAGAAAAAAATGGAAAAATACCTGTTGACACATAGAAAATGAAAATAGAGAAAAGGGTCTAGACTGCACTACTACTTTAGCCGCCCGTCTTTTGCGCCTTTTCCAAAGAACTTTTTAAAAAGTCATTTATAAAGGATCCAAATTAAAGTAATTAGGAATTCTACGTATATCATCTATAACTGCGTCAATTGCCACATAGAAACAGCCCGCATATCCTGCGGCATCGCATGTGAAACATAACGGATTGTGAAACCACTTGCCAACAAGCGCAAAGTGAAATCGATCTATAACGATCAAATGTAGGTCAGATTCCATCGCCGGAAATGATTTCGCCCATATCTGGTAAAATTTGAATCATCAGCAAAAGATTTTACATACACATATGCATGAGAGTACCATAATAAAACTGAGATATACATTGCCTATTATCTATTGCGCAAAATATGATTTTGGGAAGATTTTTTACTCACCTCGTAGACCTCAGAGTCCGCCATTTCCACCGGAAATCATTGTTGCGGCTGCGCAGTGCCCCAGAAATGGCTGGTTCATCATTACGAGTTTTACTACGGGCGAGGTGTTTGGATACTAAATGGTGTGTTGCAGTATCGACTGAAAAATTTGCTGATATATTTTGTTTTTTTGTAGTTTTCAATATCAACTCTTAGATATATGTTTTTTAATTTCCCCCAAATCCAAGGTTCGCACATACATTTCACTGATTTGCAGCTTGCACTCAAAAACAACGTAGACACTTCTGTCCATATATCCAACTGAGATTTTACGATTATAACCTTGTTTGTAGTAGGAAGAAATACGCACAACTGCCCACGCACTAGTACAGGGTGAGAAAAAAGGGGGTAGGTGAGCACAGGCTCTACCCCATTTTCAGAGATCTCCCCCTGTGATTATCTGATATCAACAGTACTGTTACTAATCATATACTCTTAACAGCGTCATTGTGGCCTTTGGCCCTTCTAAGACACCCCTTATAAATTCAACCCTTATGAATTCAGGACTGAATTAAAGAGAAAGGAGACTGTAAGTTTGTTGTTTTCTCCAAGTCAGTGTTAATTTGATTTTGCATGTGTGTACTTCTGCTCAGTTTTCCAGCTTGCATTCTCTAGGCAATTCCAACCAGTCTTTCCATAAAATAATTTATTTGGAAAAAGGAAAGAGGTTGAATTTCCAGATTCTCTAGCTGTGAAAGGGGACAGGCAAAGAATAAGATGATTTGGGGTTTTTTTTTAATTAGTGTTATTTTTTCTAATGTGAGCAGATTAAGGCATATCTAAACCTTCACTGTTGACTTCAGAATTTACCATTGAAAAAAAATATCAGCTGATGGTCTGAATTAGGCACATGGAACCTGTTTGGATAATCTAAGAAAGGCTTGCTGAAAAACAAATGCTTTCACATTGAAAATTTGACAGTAATTCTGCTTAAAGTGAATGACTTTCTTGTTAACTGTTAACCTATCCACAGGTATGCTGTTCAGCCGCAGACAGCAATCCGCACCTTCTTCTGCAGTGGATGTAGAATGGGTCTCGATGAAGATTTTGTCAGTGCTAAAGAACGTCTAAATGCCTTGAAGGAAGACCCAGGAAATGAAGTCAAGTTACAGATCTATGCACTCTTCAAACAGGTCTGTTGACTTCTCCATATTAAAACTTTCAACAGCACTGGGAAAGTAACTGTAGGTGTCTGTCTATTTCATTTGGCAAAATGTTGGATAATTTAATAATAAAACTATGAATGTTCCTTTGCTCCATGATCAATAAATGTATATTGGAGCACAGAAATATTCGTAGTTATATTGGGTTATTAATGCTGTGAGCTTTTAGGGGTTGTTGTAAATTCAACTTGTATTAAAATAAGCTACTTCTATATAGTTTTAAGATTAAGTTAAAAAATAAACTACAGTGATATGGATATTTCATCTCAATTTGGAACTGGAAAAAATGGAGAATGATTGAGTCTTAATAAGAAGCTGAATTTATAAAATGGTAAAATGACATATTTTCCAGGCAACTGTTGGCAAATGTAACACACCCAAACCAGGAATGATGGACTTTGTGGGAAAATACAAGTGGGAGGCTTGGAATACTTTAGGAGACATGTCTCAGGTACTCCCACATCTGACATGATTATATAGCAAGATACAGGCCTCCTAAATGAAAATTGCCGTTTACTATCACTACCGGCCATGGCATATTAAAAAATAACCCTGTATCTTTATCTTTAGTATCTTTAACCCTGTACCACACTGCAAAGTCCAAAAAAATACATATTCAAGGGGATGCTTATATGCTTTGGTTGGCAAATGACTATCCCAAAATGGCGATGATCGTCTCATCACCAAAGAAATTACAGCCTCCCAGTATCCTTGAACCCAGCAAACAAACGGCCAAAAATGACCACATAGAGGAAAGGGTGGAGATAGAAAACAGCCAGACTGAAGTAAAACAGAGAAGTGCACATCAAACTCCAAAGGGTTTCAAGACAAAGGGGAATCCTAATATGAAAGAGAAGAAAACAGATCGTGATATTAGTAAAATTCAAGAAACACTACAAGCAGTGGAAAACCAGTACTCTGAAATTATATTCAGGACAGCAGATGCAAAAAGACAGGAAGCTAAGACTAACAGCACAATAACAGAGGAAGTGGAGCAAATTAAAGGATCATTAACAGATCAAATGGAGACATTGTCTGCACTCTCAACACAAATTCTCAAACTAACAGAGACGGTGAACAAGATACACTCTAAGCTCCTACCCACAAAACAAACAATGCATGTAGGAACTCAATATGAAGAGCTGAATACGTGTGAAATAGGAACACAATGGGAGCATCCTCATATCACCCCCACAGAACTTGAGAACAATGACAATAGAAACATGACTGATACCATCTCTGATAACCCCATACTTGCTATGCAATTATCACCAGACAATAACCTGGACACTGCACCACCCCCACAGGTCGCTATCCTGACACCATCAACAATTGCTGTGGAGACTATACAACCCACATCAAACCCAACATCTGAAGAAAGGAGAAATGCTAAACAACCTACTTCAAGGGAAAAGCCATCAGTGAAAATTACAAGGGAAAATACATGCCCACCTGTTACAAACACTGAACATGAAACTGGATTAATGACACTAGCGGAATCATCCCAGAACTCACCTGTGCTACCTGAGGAGAAAGAGTTGACACAAGAGAGAGTAACCTTGAACACAGCAAGTTATGAAAATGTAGTCATAACAAGCTCCATTGGGAAAGGTTTGTCTGCCAATAGACTCTTTCCACACTCTAAAAGTAAATGCTTCGTACTGAGTGGCAAAAAAATTAATGATGCAGCGGAATTAATCGGAGAAAAAGATTTTGGCACACCTAAGTCAATCACACTTATTATTGGATCAAATAACATTAGCGAGGGACAACATCCGCAAACTGTTGTAGACGAAACAATGGCGCTCATAAACAACATTGAGAAGAAGTATCAAGAGACTCAAATTATCATCAGCAAAATCCTACCAAGATGGGGAAATCGCGGCTTCAATAGGTCTGCGGTACATATCAACCGTCAGGTACAATATCTTTGTCGTTCACATGCCAATGTCCACTACATGGACAATGACAACATAACTGATAGGAGAGACCTATTTGCATGGGATGGCATTCACCTCACCCCGCATGGGACCAGTACACTGGCAAGAAATATTAAGGATGCAACAGGACAGCTAAACCCCCGCACCACACCTAGACATGGCCACAGCCCCAGTGCTACCCACAGTCACCAGCATCGCCAGCTCCATAGGAACCACCGCAAATGGAATCAAACACCTAATCAGTGGAATTCCCCCAAGGAAAAGGGTAACTCTATCGAGAACGAATTGAAATTACTACGTGAGTGTTTAAGCAAACTGGAAGCTAAAATCTGCTAAACGTCAAACACTTATGAACACTAGTGTAATATGGAACTGATTAAACTAATAACAACCAAGTAAGTGTCACTAATACAGAAAGAAAAGCTGAAATGTAAGTACCTATGCTCCCTCTTACAGTAACAATCAGTTTCTTAATGATGAAAATGTCAGATCATTAAAGGAAAAAGCATTGTAAATTATAAAGTATAAAATTAGTCTTGGAAATACATATCGGACAGAGATATATTAATGAATGAGTGTGTAGAAGCACAGACATGTCACATGGAACAAAATCAAGAAAAACTATTAAGAATATTATACTTAGTTTGGAAGAGTAACGGTTTAATAGTTATATATTGCATTGTTAGAAGTTAAAAGTTATAGTTTATATGTATATGTATAGCATTATGGTTAGGCATTAAATTTACTTTTCTTGAGTCAATATACCAATTACAATATGTTACGTATAGGCATGCGGAATGTTAGGGGACTTGCTAAAAAATTAAGTGATGATAATTTCATTTCAACAGTTCAAAGCTTTGACATATTTGTTTGCGTAGAAACCTTCAGCACTGTAAGATCTAAATTAGCTTTACCTGGTGGCACCCATGGCCACACTGAGCAACTCAGAAAGAAAAAGAGAGTTAAAGGCAGACCCTCTGGGGGTATAGTAGTATATTACAAAAAAGAATTCATAAAGGGAATCAAAGTGCTTAGAAGCAAGAGTGAAAATCTGTTGTGGATTAAACTAGCAGGTGAACACTTTGGTTTAGAGGATGATTTATTCCTATGTGCAGTTTATATTAAACCGGGCAATGGCCCCTCAGATGAAGAAACCCTAGAAATACTTGAAGATGAAATTGCAACTCACCAATCATATGGGTCAATTTGCTTAATTGGAGATTTCAATGCAAGAACGGGGACACTACCTGATTTCATCAAAGATGATACCATGTTTGGAATTCAAATGACTGATAGTTATCCTAAAAACAGATTTTCACAAAAGAGAAATAACGTTGATACAATAGTTAACTCGCAAGGAAAGGCCTTACTTGAATTATGTAGAAGTAGTAACTTAAGGATACTCAATGGTAGAACTAAAGGCAACTCTCTCGGATATCCAACTTGTTATAATATACATGGGTGCAGTACAGTTGATTATGCAATCACAAACGACGGACTGATTAGCAAAATTATGTATCTTACAGTATTACCTATTGACTATTTATCAGATCACTGTCTGTTAGACCTTGCAATCCACACCACCGGTATGAAAGAATCATCTCCAAACCAATCATTACAAAATTTCAAAGATCGTTACATCTGGGAAACAGATTCAACTGAGAAATTTTTAAAAGCTCTTGAAAGTGAGGACAGCTTAAAACAAATCAGTCTAGCACAAAACAAATACTTCCCCTCATCTAAAGAAGGATTAAAAAGTGCCTGTGATGAATTAACAAATATAATTGAAAATGCTGCAAACTTGTCTTTGCGTAAAAAAGTCAATAACATAAGAATGAGATCAAATAAACAAACAAAAAGAATAAAAAAACAACCATGGTTTGACAGCATGTGTTCTGAAGTCAGAAGAAATATAAAACACCTTGGTAAACTACTACAAAAAAATCCACACAATAACTACATCTCGCAAACCTACCACCTAGCTACAAAGAAATATAAACAACTAGTAAAGCAAAGAAAGAATGAGTACAAAAATGCCATCCTAGACAGACTACTAGTATCTGAAAAAAACAATCCTAAAGAGTTCTGGCAGACACTTAAAAAACTAAAGGATAGAGAAGAAAATAACAACATAATTAGTCCTGAGACTTGGCAACTACACTTCCAACAACTTTGTGGAACCCCCCCTACTGATGATCACCGAATAGATAAGGAAATAAGTGAATATGAGNATTAACCACTCAACCCATGAATTAACCAACACACTGCAAAAGTATTTACCACAACCATGAAAAGATGGAGTCAACACCATTAACCCACTTTTCCCTATATGTTTTGCCCTAGGATGAAGCCAAGAGCAAGTACATAGAGGTGGTGCAGGGACTAGCAGCAGCAGAGGGCGCCACCTCCCCCCAGGTTGCTGACACTGAATCTGCAGGGACAGGGAAGTACAAGGAATTAACAGTACACAGAGATGGGAAGATGTTTGTAATAACTCTTAATAGACCTAAAAAGAAGAATGCTATTAATTATCAGGTGAGGAAAGAGAGAGAGAGAGAATATATTGTAACCAAATACTCTGTATTAGAGTACAACAGTGTAGAGTAGACTGTGTATAAAAGGAATTTTGAATAGTTGAATATTGGAAAATTTTATGTCATCAAAATGTAAGCAATTTTTAACCTTTTATATTAAAGAAATTTAAAAATGAGAATTTTAAACTCTGGCTTTGAATTGATGTATTTGTTTACTGATAAATAATGTGGTTGATAAATTTTATCAAAGACTGACTGTAAAGGGGAGGGGCAGCAGAGGTCATGCTTGGTAATCTGCTTGGTAATGATTTATGGTTTTTGTAATAATGATGTTTTTCTTACAGATGTATGAAGAATGGGGACTTGCCCTTGCAGAGGCTGCAGAATCTGATGCAACAATTGCAGTAGTCACAGGTATGAGGAGAACTTACAGTGTTTAGCAAGTTTACCAATATGCAGTCAGTAACTGAAGGTTATTTTCACCAACTGGACTAAATAAGACAAGAGATAATTTGAAGGCAAATTCAGAATTTAAAAGGTAAGTAGCTTAAATTCAAGATAGTGTCCAGACCAGTTGAGTTTAAATTTTAATCTAAAATCCAATGTTATTGAGCATTGACTAAAATCCAATGTTAGCCTGACTGTTTTGTTACAGGGGCAGGAGACTACTACTGCAGTGGCAATGACCTCAGTAACTTCATGAACATACCACCAGATGGCATTGCTGCCATGGCAGAGGAAGGTGGGAGGATTCTCAAGTAAGCTGATACTGCAAAAACTCGAATTATAAAGAAAATTTCTTTTCCAAATTTCTCCCAATGATCTTATTTTTGTGAAACCTGGAAAATGTTATTTAGAAATTTTCTCAGTTGCAGAATTTTTTTTTCTCAAGAACATGCAGATTGAACTCAGGAAAGTTAACCTAAATTTTTGGATTGAAAACTGTTAATTTCTGGCAGCTTAAGAACAAAAAAAAAAATGGAAGAACACATGCAATTTATGAGTAGAAAGCATAATGTTATTTAAAATAACCAAAGCAAATTGTACAAAATTGCTTTTATTGCATATTTGCTTCACTAAATTTCAGGTTTACTTGTATCTGACACTGCTTTTATCTGATGGTGTGTTTCATTATAAATAAATAAGTAGAACACAATTTCTTTTTTCCAGGAAATTTGTATCAGCCTTTATTGATTTCCCAAAGCCTCTGTTGGCAGCAGTCAATGGGCCGGCAGTTGGAGTGTCTGTTACTGTGTTAGGATTGTTTGACATTGTCTACACTACAGATACGGTAAGTAATGACATAATTTGTGTAGAGTGCCAGTCTTTGACATCAAGTATGCTACAGATACAGTAAGTAATGACATAATTTGTGTAGAGTGGCAGTCTTTGACATTGTCTACTATTCAGACAGAGTAAATAATGACATAGTTAACATGATGTCTGTTTTTGGCATTGTTCTGCTGATGGGTAAGTTGTGTCATAATGTTATAAGATCTTTCTGGTACACTATTTTATGTAGATCAGATGAGTTTTGCTTTGTGAAAATCTTTCTCATTTTTCTAAGACAGTGTGTGTGTGTGTGTGTGTGTGTGTGTGTGTGTGTGTGTGTGGAAAGAAAGAGAGAGAGAGGAAGAAAGAGATGCCTATATGTTATTGCAAAGATTTCAATATTTATTTTGTATGTATTTTTTGTATCTTTCAGGCAACGTTCCACACCCCCTTCTCTGCACTGGGCCAGTCCCCTGAAGGCTGCTCATCACTCACATTCCCCCAAATAATGGGTACTGCCAAGGTAAAGTGTAAGGGTACATTCAAAACTGATGATCCGCGGACTAACTGATCTGCTGACTTAATATGGCCGACCCCACTTCAAAAGCCATGTCGCTAATTTCCTAATGGTCTCCCCACCTCCACATGCATTGTCGTTGTAGGGGCCTAGCAATTAAACCTTGGAGCTGAGATTTAATCCATTTAATGGCATGTGTGGAGGCCGGGAGACCATCAGGGAATAAACATCATTGCTTTTGAAGTGAGGTCGGCCATATTTAGTCTCTGGATTGGTTAGTCCATAGATTATCTGTTCTGAATGTGCTCTAACAGTCTGAGTCAAGCCTGAAGCTGGTTCACAACCAGACGATCTTTGACCAAACTTACGTGGTCCAGTTGATGTCACTAGACAATCACATTGCTTAGCATTATATTTTATTCTTAACTGATGACAGTCTACAGGAGTAACTGTGAAATGTAGTAGTCTGTTGGTATCAGTTAGACTACTTCATGTCAAAGTTGGACTGGTTGAGAATATGACCCCTAGTGAATATGCATATTCCTACTGTAGTCTTGATGTACTGAAATTAAAGGGCACTGCATAATTCTGACAGATGTCAAAATTTCTATAAATTAGAACATTCCTATAGAGTGGTAACAACAAAATTTATTCTGTGCAGCAAAAGTCCTCAAGTGCTATATAGAAATACTATTTTGTGATGATAAAATTATGAATCTGAAAGTTTGATACTTTTGTCAATTGAAAAGATTGGGTGATTACTGTATTCAGGTGCCCATGACTTTCATGACTCTCACCTATTTAATAGAATGTCCATTTTGAAATATTTTGTTATGAAGATTAAAATCAACATTAACTCAATACATTTTGCTGCCAGGTGTAAAAGCAGTCCAAATCAATATCTTAATTAGGTTACAAGGCATGTTTGATCAAATGTTGTATTTTATTGAAGTGACAATATGATCTGTATTGTAAACTACTTTAAAAAGAAATATCTTGTTATTCCTTAAAATTTCTTATTTATCCATGATGTTGCCATTGCCATTCAAATGTGTCGCTGTTACAGGCCAATGAAATGCTGCTGTTCAACCGTAAGCTAACTGCCGCTGAAGCAATGGAGCGTGGTCTGGTGACGGAGGTGTTTCCAGACCATTCCTTCCAAACTGAGGTCTGGACCAGACTGAGAGAGATGGCCAAGTTACCACCTGTGGTAAGACAAAGTAATTTTAATGTATTTGTAAGGTATTTCATATTCATTGTATTTGAGGGCATCCAGAGCAGAGGACTAACAGATCCGCAGATCAAATATGCCCCCCCCCCCCCCCTTTGAATGCTTGTTCCATAATCCCTGTGGGGAATCTATTGTGTTTAATCGGGAATCAAGCGGCAAGCTTTTTAGTGGGTCTCCATATTTGATCCATGGATCTGTTAGTCTGCTGTTCTGAATGAGCTCTTTGGCTTTAAGGCCCAGGATCTTACCCTGGGTTCAGTTGGTGTGAGAGAGATGACCATGTTACCACCTGTGGTAAAACAAAGTTGTTTAAGTGTATTATAGTTTAAATGAATTGTATTGTATTTGGCTTTAAAGTTCAGCATGTTGCCCAGTTCTGTTAGGGGTAGGGACTCATTGTGATGTTTCCAGCATAGGTTATGTGTGATGAAGACATAAAGCTGAACTGAGGAGTTCTTGCTGCAAATCTCCCTGAAATTTTTGGAAATGTGTGATGTTTTTGTGCATTTTATGAATGCATCTTCAGCATGTACATTGTATTTCATCAAATTTAACATGTTAATTTTTTAACTCTGTAATATGGAAGGGGTAGGTTCTCCTCACATACCCTTTTGTTAAGCAATCTTTTTACTGTAAAATTTTATTAAATCTATAATTAATTGATTCAGTAGTAATTAGATAACCTATTACAAAATCTCTTGGATATTTCTAAAACTGCCTCCTTGCCTCTAGCTACGTTCCTTCCATATTTCAGAGCCTGCGTACCTCCAAAGGACTGATTCGAGATGTAGACAGGGCTGCTTTGCACGCAACCAATCAGAGAGAGTGTGACTTACTGGTAGACAGGTGGCAGTCGGACGAGTGCATGAATGCCATCATGAACTTCTTTCAGCAGAAAGCAAAACTCTGAACAACAGCGCAATTAGTCTCTGTTTGGACTCAAATGGTAGATTGTGTTCTAACAACTACAGTTTTTGCGCAGGTTGAGAACTTATGTGAAAAATAATCAGTCACTTATTCTCCCTTGTGGCCTTACTTTATTACTGTATCAGTACAAGTATTTCAGGACATGTTCATATTTTTAATGCAAAGTATAAAACAGTTTATACATTCACATGATGATTGTTTTCATTGGCTGCAATATTTTAAAATCTTATGAGCATTATTTAATTATGCAGTTTTTTTGTATTTTTTGTCTTTAAGAAATATATAGTAAAGAGTTCCAATAAAAATGCACAAAATTGTCTTTTAACAATAAGAGATAGTTTACTTTTTAATTCCATTCCCCTGTATTATGGCTATGAAGTTGACTGTGTAGGAACATAATATAAAGACGATTTTAAAAAGTTTTTTTGCTTGGGTCTGTGCTATGGTAGTTTGAAAACTTTTACAGGTACATGAACTGACCATGGCATACAGTCATACAAATAAGGTTGCTTTTTCTCAAGGTCATTTGAAGGGCACTCGGTATCTTGGATTTTTGTATGCTGCCTGATCGTTAGTGACTAAAGAGCCCGTGTCCCTAAACCACAAAGAAAATTATACTGACTAAATGAGAATAAGGCATCCCCAGAAAGAGCCACTAAAACACCAACTGTTAATGTAACGTGAATGTTACGTGATCGCTGCCCTCCCGAAATACAGCACAAGGGTAACTGTAACAGAATTTTTCCACAACTATATTTGCAGGAATACAACAATGAAACAGTAAGGCACAATTAATTTTATTTCACAACAACAAAACTCATTAAGTGAACAAGAATCTTCTTTTCTTCTACATTTACACCACAATTTTACAACTGACAAATCAAGTTCTTTTGTACTTAAACGAACCTACAACTACATATATCACAATTCTAATTTTATTTGTTTTTAACGTGTACGTTGATAAACCTACAAGTGCAAACTATGTTGTTCCCAAACTGCCATCTGTACAACTGATCTTTCAAAAGTGATACTAATTACTAAAACATCTCTAAGAACCTTGAAACTGGTATTTATGTCAAAATGGAAACTGGTATTTATGTCAAAATGGCAGCATTAAGGCAGCTTAGGATTTAAAACTACAGTTGATAGACTATACCAGTATCTGGCTGTGCGACTTCTTTTGTTATACACAAGTTGAGTGTGGGCTTATCAAACCGCAGTAGCAGTACAAGTCATTGCCAAGATCAGAGTAATCATAAGAAACTGGTGGTCTGGGTTATCTTTTTTTTTTTTTTTTTTTGGGGGGGGGGGGGGGGGTAATATCTGCCTGGGATTGTTAAAACTGCCTGAACCTTGCATACGGTAAAGTGCCATGAATTTCGAACGGCTCTTGAATTTCGAACGATCTTAAAATCGGCCGTCCGGAGTTTTTTCTGGACCATGAATTTCGGCCAGTAAGCAATTTTGCGCGATCTTGATTTCGTGAATTTCATACACCATAAAATCGGCCACCGGGCTATTCTCGCGCTTATAAAGATCTAACAGTCGGCAATGTTGCCCTAGCGTACCTTTACCTGAGTACTACGTGTGCGGCCCAAGGTGCAAGATAACGATCGGTACAGTTAGTTTAGGACGCTAAACAACATCGTCATATCCATTCATTCAGATAACAGGAGAATCTATTTAAGAGTTGTACTGTCGGGCTGTTGTTTCTTTACCGCAGTATTCGGTGTGAGATAGCGATCGGTAGTTTTGCTGAGGCGCACAATAGCATTGTTAACAGTAGAGACTTCAGTAACAGAACAAAAGAGCAATATTAAGAGCTGCAATAAAGATTACAATTATTGCTGTCTTGT